CCTTGAAAACAGAATTTTTTATGCATAGTAATGAAATATTTAGATTATTTTTTGGTCTCAAACTAGGTATCCATCAAAATGAGTAGTGTAAAAATTAAAATGTGACAAAGGAGATGTTATCAGGAAAAAATATCCTACAGAAGCTTCTGTAATTTTTTTTTTTTGGTGGTACTGGGGTTTCAAGTGTACTACCACTTGAGCCATACCTTCAGCCCTTTTCACTTTACCCATTTGTTAGATAGGGTATTCACTTTCTGTCTCAGGCCTACACCTTCCACATAACTGGGATCACAGGTGTGCACCACCACATCCAGCCATCTGGAATTCTCGATAGGGAATGATTGCTCTATTACAACATGTACCAATAATAACCACTTATTATATACTAGATCCTCTGCCAAGTGCTTTGTAAGCATTTCTTACTTAATCCTCTTGGAAAGCTAAAGAAATCAGCTGACTGAAGTGAGTGAATAAAAGCATTTTAGACAGAGGAAAAACGAGTCATATACAGCTTTAATCACTTGTTCAGGGTCACAGAATAAAAATAAGAAAGTGGAACCAAGAGCCCAGGTCAGGTTGTGTTAGAGCCTCTAAGTAATTCATGTATTTCTGAAGCTATATCAGACATGTAGGAACTTTGTGCTGGATTGGTTTTAAATATTTATTTATAATAAAAGAATCAGAAAAAAATATAGCAGCAATCACCAAAATTGGAAAGTTTTAAGGAACTTGTGAGGTTAACCAAGATAGTGACTCTGACAAGAATACTGTCAAATAGTTGAGAAAAAATAATTCAATGTAGGTGTCAAAAAATAGGCAGCCATTGAAGAAATTATTTCTGCCAGTTGACTACCACTGTGAAAGAGGAATAAAATTATATATTGTAAATATATATTTTTGACAGATGGTCTCAGGTTCTTTTCAGAAAAATAGATGTTATAAATTAATGACCAATGTGACTATCTTTTGTATTTCTCTAAGGGAATAACTGACTACAGAATTGGAAAATAAAAACAAAATTCATTTTATAATTTGACTTGACAAAAATATAATTATTTACAATATAAACAGAATAAAATGATTAAATTTTTGATCTACACATATATTTTTAACATCCCTCCATGCAGAAGTTCAAGTTCAAATGAGACATTACTGGCTGCTATTATACAGTAATAAAATAGGCCATGATTTTTTATTAAATGGATGAAAGAATAAATGGCATGATAGGTAGACAGGAGATATTTAACTTCCTTTTAATTTTTTGGGGGGTGGTTCTGAGGTTTGAACTCAGACCTTCATGTTTGTGAGGCAGGCACTCTACTGCTTGCAGCTCCAGTCTTGTTTTCTCTGGTTATTTTGGACATAGGGTCTGCGTTTTGCACAGGCTGACTTGGACCACTATTGGCCTATTTACGTTTCTGCTGTCCCTAAGATGATAGGTGTATGCCACTACAGCCAGCCATTGGTTTTCAAGGCATTTTCCTAACTTTTTGCCCAGGCTGGCCTGGAACCATGGTCTTCCTAATCTCAGCCTACCAAGTAGCTGGGATTACAGGAATGAGTCACCAGCACCTGGCTTAACTTCCTTCCTTCATAAACCCATATTAAGCAATCACAGCCTTGCCTTAAAGTCAAAAGTTACATTATAAAAGATAATTTAATCCAAAAAATTACATAAAGTGTGTTCATTAAATGTAATATCAGTATGATTTTCCCTTTTTTTGGTGTTCACTATAAATACTTAAAAGAAATGCACATCTTTGAAAATGTATATTTAACTTATTCCTGATAGTTATATGACTTATTGGAAAGAAACGTAATGGCAAAAATTTAAAATTATCCATAATCCCACAGTTTATTCACAAATATGAGATTATATTTTCTTAACTTCATAAAGCTTCCAATTACAAATTAGTCCAGGCTGTGAAACCTGAAACCTTATACAAGGTTGTCACCTAGTGGTCAAAGTGAAGAATAGCAAGCTGAAATCAGAGAATGCAAATATTTGAAACCAAATCAGAAATGAAAAGTTCATGAAACAAAATTAAATTTGATCTCCATATTCTCTCTTAACTAATTATGTATTTTGATATTAATTTTCAGCAATTGAAATTTTTAGACATGATGATAATATCATTCCGTTATTTGGCAGCTTCCAAAACATTTACATCTGAATTTGAATCTTGCGGTATCTTTTCCCTATTTTGAATCAGAACCTGTATTTGTTTTATACAGGGTTTTATTTGCTCTTGTATCTCTCACTGTGCCTGCTTTTGTTATGAGCTCAGTTCATAGTTTTAAACAAATCTACTCAGTTACTAAAATGTTTCCAGAATTAAATAAAATATCAAAACATTATTTAAGAAACACACACTGATATGTTTGCCTATGCGATTTTTAACAGAAGATATAGGTAGGATCCACTCCTAAATATTAACAATCCCAGAAGCAATTACTAGCTATTAATTTTATCTTCTGAAAGGTGACTCAAATATTTCTGATGTTTTTACCTTAATTTTATGTGATATATTTATTTAGTAGTGAAGTCTGACCTTCAAGTCAGATTTTAAATAGTTTGCCTCAATAAAGAAGGGAGGCACTAAGGAAAATTTTGTCAATCTTTTGTAGGTTTAAAAGACAAAATTAAGGCTGGAGATGGTGACTCACACCTGTAATCCTAGCTACGGGGGAGGCAGAGATCAGGAGGATAGCAGTTCAAGGCCAGCCCAGGCAAAAAGTTTGAGTGACCCCATCTTAACCAATAAAGCTGGGCATGGTGGTACATACCTGTCATCTCAGCTACCCGGGAGGCACAGGTAAGAAGATCATGATCCAGGACCACTAGTGCAGAAAAATGTAAGACTCTATTTAAAAACTAACTAAAGCAAAAAGGGCTGAGGCATGGCTAAAGTTGCAGAGTTGAAGACTCTAAGATGAAACCACAGTTCTGGCAAAAAAAAATTAAGTTTGGTAGTTTACTTGAAAATAAATATTCTTATCTGAGTTATTTCTTGATTTGGAAAATTGAGTGCACCTCTCTATGTGGTGCTAAGAATGTGTGTTTGATATTTTCATTCACTTTGTGTTGAATATTTGCCCAGTGTATGTTCTCTCTCAGATGCAGCCCATGATCTGAGGGACCCAGAGGTGTGAATGCTGAGATGGGGCCTATGGCCAGAAGTCTGCTCAGGACCAGCAGAGAGGCAGCCGTGTGACCTCAGCGACTTCACTGGCAGAGGAGCAGGTGTGGTAAGCAAAAGCTAACTCTACATTCTTTGGGGCTACCTCAATCTTTATTTCTTAATTAATATTGCAATAATTGCTTTGTTTCCATCTCTTTCTAAGGCTCTGTGCTCTTTTTTCCTCTTCCCTCATTTTTTCTTTTCTTTTTCTTTCTTTTTTCTAATTTTTTTCTTTTTACATCAACTATTTACATCAACTAGCACAATGTAGGTTATCATTTTTAAAAACATACATAGGCTCTAAATATGCTGTTTCAGATTAACTAGGGCAATTTATGCCCTGAAATCTATTTCCACAGACTGCATTATAGACAGATAATAACTACTGTGTCAAATATGCTTGTCATATTTCCAGATTCTACTCTTGAAATTATCCAATTTATAACACCAAAGAACTATTCAAAAGTCTATTTTTCTAAAGTAGACCTCTGGTTAGCTCTCTGTTTCCTAAAATGAATAAAAACTGAATGACATTTACTTTTCTTGCCAAAAATATCATAATTTGAAGAATTATTACATTGTTAAAGATCATGGTGCCAACTTTACAAATGTTTATATTAAGTACATCAAAACAGTGTCAGGTGTATAAGGAAAAATATTACGTAAAGTAAGGTCAGAATACAAAATTTGTAGTTGTCCGTCAGTTCTCACCTATTTTTTAAAGGGTAGTTTCAGATTAGAAACCAAGTTGATAGGCTTCCTATAGATGTACAGGTACAGTTAGACCGGGTAAATGAAAAAGAACTGGATATGTGGAGCTAGACACATTGATACTGAATCAAAGATTGTTCCACGTGCATCCTTCTGAGAATGTCACAAAAGAACTGCTGCTATCTAATTGACAGCTGTTTTGACTTTTTAAAGTGGAAAGTTCCAGAAGAGTTAAAAGAAACCTGGATGATCTGAAAACACAGTGCTACTATAATGCATACATATCACCCCTGATTCCATATGATTTAAAAAATCTTATATATCCTAATGAGTCAATTCAAGCTTTTGTGTCTATATTAATAGCTGACTCTAAAGTTAAAGTTTGCTGAATTAAGCATGTGTTCCAAACAGATCTCCAGGATTTTGAATGGTCAGTTTTCCAGAGAAGAGGCTGTCAGGAGAAAATAGCCAATTTCCCTTTTAAATACACTATGTAACGGCCACCTGTCCATGCACTGAAGATGGTCCTGTGCAAGTTATTCCTGCCTTACTTCCCAATTGCTTCTCCCTCAATGCTGCCATGTTTAGCTACAGAACTTGTACCTTGTATACTTTGCAATTCTTAAAATGCAGACGTTTAATCCCTTTCAAATCACATGAACTAGTTTTTCAAGTCTTCTAACATATATGTTTTATTTATTTGTTACCCTCACAGATTAAAAGAAATACTTTAATCTTTACAGCCAGGGGTAAATTCTATGCTCTTACATCATTTAAAGTCAAAGTGAAAGCATAAGAACCTCAAGAGCATACATGCCGGGGTGTAACACTCACCAATGTAAGCACTGTATTATAGTTACAAGAGAAGAAAATGTACCAAAAGCCCAGTGAAAATTTGCTAAAATCTGCAGCAAAATCTTTCAGGCTAACTATTTAAGAAAGGTTTAGGAGTATCATAATAAATGTAAGAGGAACTATGAAAAGCCTTTTGGAAGGCTTTTCAGTCTCAAAAACAATCACATAAGATAGGATGGTACTAGTTGGAGTTTTAAAGCAGACACACAAGAATTATTTGGTTGTTAGTAAGATGAAACTTAAAATACATACCATAAAATTCCTCTGGTAATGAATATTCTCTTTGTTAAAATCAATCACATAGCCGTTAAAGGACCAAACAAATGTGAGATCCAGGGCTGGGTCAACAGACGCAGCACACTGCATGGTGGCATTTTCTCCAACAGTGATATCAGCGTTAATTGGGGCCAATATGATTCGTGTGGGATCTATTGTTTTCAAATAGAAGAATAAAGTGCAACTCAAGAAAGATGATACACCATATATCTGGTACATTAAAAGAATAAAAATCAACATATTTTGATTTCTTACTACAAAGGAACAAGATATTCCACATCCAAATCCCATGAACAATTTCATCAAGCCACAAAGATACCAAGAAAAGTTATCAATACATAGACCATGCTAGAAGCTTAGTTGTAAATCACATTTCTTTAGTACATTAGATACTAAGTACCATCAGACTTCAAATACAATGTTAATCAAATATCAAAAGATTTCTTACCTGTGATCACAAGAGTACCAGAGCTATTAGCTTTCCCTCTGTTGTTTTCTGCAAAGCAGGTATAGATACCTCCATCGTTCCTTGTAATGTTATTGATTTCCAAGCTCCCATCTTCCCAAATGAGTATTCTGTTGAAATGAAAAACATTCATAATTCACAAAATTAATTTAATAAAATTGTTGTACTTCTATTTTTTTTTGTTGTTAATACTGGGGGTTAAACTCAGGGTCTCACACTTGCTAGGCAGGTGCTCTGCCACTTAAGCCATGCCCACAGCTCTTTCTTGCTTTAGCTCTTTGTCATAGACTCTCTCCCTTTTAGCTGAGGCAGGCTTCAGACCGTGATCCCTCTACCTAGCCTCCCCTCATAGCTGGGATCATAGGTGTGCCACCACTCTCAGCCTGTTTGTTGAAATGAGGTCTCACTAACTTTTTCCCAATGCTGACATCAAACCACAATATTCTTGAGCTGTGCCTCCTGAGTATCTGTGATTCCAGATGTGTACCACAATGCCTGACAATATGTTTTTGATTATTATATTTTGTACAAGTCACTTGATCATAGGGCAATTTTAAGTGGAAACATTCTAATGTGTGTTTCTAATATTCCTTCCCAGCATTAACAATGTTGTAGAAAGCCACCGTCATCATTTTCTTTAACTATTGCAGGGCTTCTCTAGCTTATCTTCGGTTTGCCTCCTTGCCCCTCCATGCCTCCTTCCCACATGTCAATCAGATAGGTGGGCATAAGTGACCTAAGTCATAAGATGTCACTACTGGTCTGTGAAGTCACTCTACAGATTAAATCCTCTAGTGGCTTTCCATCTCAGAGTAAAAGCCACATCATTTACTCTACGAGGTTCTAGATAATTTCAAATTTATTTCTGGAGTTGTTCAGGTTTTTGTCAGTGACTCCTTCTATAAAGCTTTTATTTATTGACTTGTTTTTAACAAAGAGAAACACAGCTTCCTTAGGTCCAGTAAGCCATTTAGCAACTGTTAGTCTGGAGGCTTTACTCAGTGGACTGTGCTAGCATCAACTCTAGTAGGTCCTCTCTTACCTCATAAGTGTTTCCAGGCCCTTATACCAGGGATGGTCAAAACTTTCACCAGTGTCGCTTGGCTAGTCATTTGCATAACTGAGCCACTGAAGGAAACAAAGGAAACGTATATAATTCCTTCAAAAGTTACCTGCTTGGTTACTCCAGAGGCACCTGCACACCCATGTATATTGTAGCACTATTCACAATAGCCAAGTTATGGAAACAGCCAAGATGCCTCACTACTGACGAATGGATCAAGAAAATGTGGTATCTATACACAATGGAATTTTATGCAGCCATGAAGAAGAACGAAATGTTATCATTCGCTGGTAAATGGATGGAATTGGAGAACATCATTCTGAGTGAGGTTAGTCTGGCCCAAAAGACCAAAAATCGTATGTTCTCCCTCATATGTGGACATTAGATCAAGGGCAAACAAAACAAGGTGGTTAGACTTTGATCACAGATAAAAGCAAGAGCACAGAAGGGAGATATGAGGATATGTAAGACACCTAAAAAACTAGATAGCATCTGTTGCCCTCAACGCAGAGAAACTAAAGCAGATACCTTAAAAGCAACTGAGGCCAATAGGAAAAGGGGACCAGGAACTAGAGAAAAGGTTAGATCAAGAAGAATTAACCTAGAAGGTAACACACATGCACAGGAAATTAATGTGAGTCAACTCCCTGTATAGCTATCCTTATCTCAACGAGCAAAAAACCCTTGTTCCTTCTTATTATTGCTTATACTCTCTCTTCAACAAAATTAGAGATAAGGGCAAAATAGTTTCTGCTGGGTATTGAGGGGGTGAGAGGGAGAGGGAGAGGGTGGGGTGGGTGGTAAGGGAGGGGGTGGGGAAAGGGGGGAGAATTGACCCAAACATTGTATGCATATATGAATTTAAAAAAAGTTGTAAAAATAAAAAAAAAAGTTACCTGCTTATTTAGAAATATCCACCATTATAAGTGCAGAGACCTTGACAAAAGTGTCTTGATTTTTTTTCTTTGAAATAAAAATGACAATGAAGAAAGGAGAGAGAGAGACTGAAGGCCTAAGTTACAGATCCTCACTGTGAACCACTCTGCCAAGTTTTCCAAGGTAAAACCACTCATTGCAGTGTTTTTGTTTTGGAAATGAAATTTGTTTTCAGTTAGTGCTGATCCATAATTTAAATTCTCTTTAAAAAAAAAAAAAACGTAGAGTGCATTGCTGGTGGGACTTTGTATTTGAGTGTGGTTCTAGGGATGGAACCCAGGCCTTGTGTGTGTAGGCTAAAACAAGAAGTCTACCACTGAGCTCTAACTCCAGCCCCTGGTAGGACTCTTGTAACAAAAGAACACCAAATAGACAACAAATTTGTTACAGGAAAATTACCCTTGCCTCAAACTCAGAAGGGGCTACGAACAGGGTCAATATTTCTCAAAGAACACTTGACTTTCTGTGGAAAGTGCAATTATGTCCCCAAATTGTAATTTAACATAAACCACCAGCATCCTCTACAGTGAGCACCGGTGGTCCAAATAGGTGAGTTCTAGCTTCAAACCGAAGCAGTGAGACTTTTTAGCCTGTTTGTACAATGCTTTCCCTGTATATACTACATTTTTTCACAAGCGACACCTGTCTATCATCTATCATCTATCTATATATCTATATCCTGCCAAAACTTGGAATTCAAGGCTTGTGGCCATATTCATTTATCAAGTGAAATAAATATTGTGCAAAAAGTTAATTTTTTAAAAATTTTTTCTTTTATTCATATGTGCATACAATGTTTGGGTCATTTCTCCTCCTTCTCCCCGCCCCTTCTCTTACCCTCCCACTCCCCCGCCCCTTGCTACCAGGCAGAAACTATTTTGCCCTTATCTCTAATTTTGTTGAAGAGAGAGTATTAGCAATAATAGGAAGGACCAAGGGTTTTTGTTAGCTGAGATAAGGATAGCTATACAGGGAGTTGACATGCATTGCTTTCCTGTACATGTGTGTCACCTGTACGTTTCCTGTACATGTTTGAGAAATTAATTCTTCTCAAACTAAACGAAAAAGTTAATTTGAGTTGAATATGCTATGCTTGTTTCTGACTCAACATTAGAGTTTTTATTTTTTACTTGGAATTTAAATAGGCTATTAGACAAAACTAATAATTTTGATATATTCTTTCTTTGAGAAATATTAAAGGGGAGCCAAGGTAGTGAAAATAATACTGTTTTCACATCAAGGAATCATTATCAGAACAGAGCTCCCAAAATGTCAGCTGTGTCTTGAGTAAAATCTTCATTAGGAAAACCGTGTGCAAGGAGCAGGGAACAAAAGGACGAGATGGTGACACGTGCTCTCCAATGCAGGGGGAAAGCAAGGCAGGAGAGCAACGGAGCTGAAAGAACTTGGTAGATTAAACTATTCAGAACTGCTAAGTGGACTCTTGTACTATGTAAGTTCAACAGCTCTAAGAAGATACAGATACGGTAGAAAAAGAATGAAAATTTTCACCATAAAACCAGTCATTGCCACTCTATCACAGAGATTTTGATGATTCTAGTTAGTATTATTTATGGTCTTGTCTATGTGCACACATGTACATACACACCCAACACACACACACACAGAGTAAAGCTGTATTGGCATTCAACATGCAATTCATCTTCTCAGATTTCTTTTTCCTGATACATATTTCATCTGAAATTCTTCAACTTAACTCATTTAACAGTACCTTTCCCCTGACTATATTGATGTCAGAAGTTTGTGTGCATTTTACTTATGGCCACATTTCCACCATATAACAGGAACTATAAAATTCTTTAGGTCAGGAATATTCTCTTTGTTAAAATCAGTCACATAGCCATTGAAGGACTAAGTAAATGCAAGATCCAAGTTACAATCAAAGGAGCAGCACATTGCCTTGTGGCATGTGATATCAGCTGCTCATTTTTTCATTAAAAAAAAACCCCACAATTATTTGTCAAAGGCACTCATTAATTACTATGATGTTAATCATTAAATAGGCATTCAATAAGCCTTTCTTTTTAAATAAATGAGCAACATGAGCTTAATGAAGCAAGTGTATTTTTATATCCTACACAAACTAAGATTTAAATCACTATGGGACAAGCTCAGGCAGTTTATAAGCCTGAAAGAAATGACCAAGGCCTTCTAGAAATGTAACTTCAGGACTTCAATTATGCTTTCAAGTTAGGGCAGACTGTCATGTCCACTACTACAAAGAGGTATAGACATATTTTAGTTTCAGAAACTTTTAAAGAAATATGTTTCATATCTCCCTTAGTAAGAGCTTCTGGAATACATTAGTATTTAGGAAATTTTTCTTTGAACAGAACCCTCATCACTCATGCTGCATCAATTCCCTCAGGGGATCTGCTTCTTCCCTGGGGGCTAGAGCTAAAAATTCACTGTTTTGTTATACAAGCCTTCATACTTAGATCCAATATTGGACTGCTTGACATTGGAGTTTTACTTTCTCTAAATGCATAATTTTCAAACGTTATCTTGGAAAGTTTGCACAGAACATATAAACATACGCTCTGTTTGAAAGGGAGTCTGGTAAAAGACAATAGTATTTATCTGCCTTACTAAGAAAACTCTCAGTATAAGAAAATATTGAAAGTTCTAATAATACGTTGCAAGATCTCCTTTTCTTGTTTAGTTATGCCATTCCAAATTAAAAGCTCATTTCAGGATACTTTTTGCTCTTGAAAAACAAATGGAGTATTAAAATAATGTGATAATAAAAACAGTTACCTGATACCATAGGAGCTTGGAGAACTTGCCTCTTTCTCCAATGTGAGGATGGTAATTAACCCATCATAGTATTTATCCTGGACTGCACTTTGCATGTGCCTGAGAAGGCCTGTTCCTAAAAGACCTTGACTCCTCTGATCAGAATTACTGGCCAGTGTACTCTCCAGTGGCCTTACATAGTCTCTTAGAACTGCACTGTGTCCAACTCACTGCAGCCAAATCCTTTCTCCTTCCTTCTCTCCCTCCTTCTAGGACAGACCTGAATCTCAGTCAGCTGCCCCAGTCTCCACCCAGCTTCCTCTCTATTTTCCTTCCAATACCATTAATAAACTCTAACTTGTCTAAACTGTCCTGGCTTCTGAGAGAGCAGATATTAACACAGTACCAATATTAATACTTTTTGTCATTAAGCTATAGGGTAAGTCCTTGCCAAACCTCCTCCTGTTTAATTATTTTTTAAGCAAAGTAGTAAAAATTACAGTCATGTTACAGTTGAAAAAGGTACAAAATTCTTTCTAAGGTCCATAGTAATATTTTTAATTTACTTATATATGTTAGCTCACAATTGATATTTATCATCTTTAAAGGGTATATCACCATAGACAGGTGTGGTAGTATACATCTATAATCCAAGCTACTTGGGAGGATGAGGCTAGAGGATTGCAAATTCAAAGCCAGCTCTGGCAAAGTCAGTGAGACCCTATCTCAAAAACAAAATACAAGACAAATGGGTGGAGGTGTTTAATTGGTTGAGTGCTTGCCTAGCATGTAGATGGTCTTGGGTTCAATTCTAGCACAGAAAGAAAAAAATATATATATACACACAGTAATGAACCACATAACAATCCTTAAACTAATGGCAGACCACATGCACAATAGTGGTTCTATGAGATTGCAGTGAAGCTGAAAAATTGCAGCCACCTGTTATGTAGCTGTCACACTGTCAGGTGCAAGGCATTGTGTTTGTGGCGAGGCTCATGTAAAGAAACCTACAGTGCTGACAGTTGATAATGATAATGAATGACTTTGACTGGCTTATGAATTTAATATAGTATACTTTTGTCATTATTTAAGAGAATCCTACTTATTGCAAAACACAGTTTTCTGTTAGACAGGATGTGGTGTTATGCCGGCAGCAGCTCACATAGCTCATGTTTAACACCTCTCTTGATTGTATAATTTTCTCTTGTGCTTTTCTAAATCTCATGTGGTTAGGTTCACCATGGCTACTGAAGCAGCAGGCTGATGCTGATGCAGATCGCATAGCACAGGTGTACCCTCTAGATTCATGTACACACACTGGGATGTTCACACGGCAATGAAATCACCCAATGACACAGTTCTCAGAGTGGAGCCCTGGTATTCAGTGAAACATGACTGTGTGTACTTCCTTGTGTCATTTCTTCTATATATTCAGCCATTTCTCCCTTGACATTAAAATTACTTTTCAGTAAGATTATTTAGGAAAATGTTTTTGTAATAATGCTCCTTTATTCTTAAATCAATGTGGATTAAATTCTCAGGTTCTCCCTTCCTTTCTTCCTTCCTTCTTTCCTTCCTTCCTTTCTTTCTTTTCAGTTCTGGAGATTGAACTCAGGGCCCTACTCTATCACTTGAGAAATCCTCTAGCCATTTTTGCTATAGTTATTTTTCAAAGAAGGTCTGGCCTTTATATCTGGGCCTGGCTGGCTACACTTCCACCTAGCTGAAATGATAGGCATGGACCACCACACCCAGCTTTTATTGGTTGAGATGGGTTCTTCAGGAATTTTTGCCCAGGCTGGTCTTGAACTGTGATCCTTCCAATCTCTGTCTCTCAAGGAGCTAGGGTTACAGACTTGAGCCACTACACCCAGTTTTTTATGGTCATTTCCAGTTAATACCATATGGATCTGCCAACAGGCTAGGAACAATTTGGTCTTTAGACAATTATCACTTACAGTCAAAATTTTTCTTGGATAACTTCTACTTTATTTGTTTATTGATCAAACATAGAAACTGTCCAGTAGAAAATAATCATGAGATCCATGACTGAAATAAAGGTGATGTAAGAGCTACTAGCAGTCTGTCAAATATAAAAGAAAATATGTTATTTGAACCCAAGATCATACAATTAAGAACGTTAAGTACAATTTACCAAGATTCAAGGCTCTTCCTTATCAAGGGCAAATGTTGCTTACACCATTCTATAAGCCACTAACCAGGCACAGAAAAAAACTTTGTTTGGTGAACTTATTTTGTAATTATAGTTATTATTATATTTATGCTTAAAGACTTATTATTAGTCTTTAGATATTCTTTTACAATATATATTTGTATTTATTATTTACAAATACAGAAATTTGCTTAATTTTTCTTTATAATACTATTTTATAATATTCACACATATTTGTACATGAATATTATATCTATTGTAAAGGAGTACTTACACTGAAATATTAATGAATTAAAGGAGTGAGACAAAATTGAACTTACAGACTCATCAAGGAAGTAATACAATTTGACTTCAAAATCTTTAAAACTATCATAGCACAACCAAAATTATAAGAGTTTAGGATCTGGATCCTTCTTTCTCTGTCTTTTGTTTTTTTCTAAAACAAACTGATATTTAAGAAAAACAAGTCCACGAGACATGGTTCTGAGCAATCCATGATTGGAGAGACTCAGGACCGTGACCTTCATCTGAACTAGAACAAGACTTCCTCAAAGAGGGAGAGAGCAGTGGGATGTTAGGTTGTTGCAGGAGTGAGAACCTAAAAATAGGGCAACTTGAACAAAGTGACTCTTCCTTTCACAAGGATATCTCCCAATATCATTTTGTTAAAGTTTTAAAAACTCTTAGGTCAAATATATTGACTTTGGAATTTAATGTGTTTGAGTAAGAACCTGCTGTTCCCTCCCTCCTGCCTCTTTCTACGTAGTCATACTTGTAACCATCCTAGTAACAGAACTGTGCTTCCATACTCTCACTCCATGTCAACATGACACAAGTTCTAGTTCCAGTTTGGACATTCTTAATATATTTCCAGGTCACTTTAACTCTTCTAGGCCTTAAATGTATCAAAATAGGGCTGATAATATCCATAACAATAATCCCCATAATAATAATCATATTTTTGGATTATTTTGAAGGTCTATTTTCTATAACTTTGCCATAATAGTCTTTCCAAAGTCAAAAATTATGTTTTTCTTCCCTTGTTTAGGCCTTCAGACAGATTTCCATTATTTTTACACAAGGCCCAGAGCCCACAGCACTAAAGGTTTTGTCATTTGTGATCTGTCTACATCTCATCTCTAAGTCTTCTGTATTTTCCCTAAACACAAATTGTACTTATTTTGGCTCTTGCACGTCCTTATACATTCTATCCTCCTTGCCGTAGGCCCTTTGCACGTGCTGCCTTCAATTCCTGGAATACATAACACCCCACATCCCACCTATCTCCCATTTGGCCTTCTCTATCTCATACAAAATTGAAATAGAAAAAACATAAATAATTAACATATAAGTCATAATATATATACACATATATACAGCCTCTATAAAACAGGAAATATTTGGTGTTATTTATATATATATAAATAATACGTGCAAATTGTACTCTGCTTTTTTTGCCTGTCCCAAAGCCACCAAAATATTGGTAGTCTACTTCTATGGGGAATGATGAGAACATCTGTCGATTTTAGAAGATGAAAAGTCATATGTATATGGAAGTCACCATTGTATTTTCCTACCAATATATTTAGTAGGTAATTGTATAAGATTATGCTAAATAAAAATGGATATGAATGCCTCGGTTAGAAAAAAATAAGTTAGAGAAATCCTGTTTTATTTCCTTTTGTTGGTTAGCTGTGTGACAGTAGGCAGTTTACAAATACTTTTGAGCTTCAATTTTCTAAATTCTGAAATACAATTATAAAATATATAAATAAACTATATGATTCTGAAAATTCTAGTTTTAATGGATACTGGCATGAATGGGCAAGTGTTTCTGTTCATTGGTTCTATGGGGAAAGTTGGAAGAAACAATATTTCTACTAATAGTGTGAAAACAAGTCTTCTGCAGAATAAAGCCTCCCACATGGCTCATTTCAATTAGATTCCTAGTTTCTCAACTGACCTGCTGCTGTTGACAAGCCACTCTGTCCCTTTACTCCAGGAAAACTTCGGTTTAGGTGCAGCTTTAGGTTTGCATTCAATTATTACCCTTCCTCCCTTTGCAGCCAGGATCTTTTTCCTCATAGGATTAAATTCAAAAGTTGGAGCCAAAGCTAAAAGGAAAACAATTATTTTTTCTTTTTATTAGAGTCTTTTATTCCATTTTGACTAACAGCTAGTAGATAGGATTAATCTCAGTAAATGTGATTGGCTATGATCCACAGATATTTCGTATCTAGTAGTTTTTATGTAATAGCTTTTACACTTCATAAAACACACCCAATTCAAATGTACAGTTTTTGAAAATCTGATTAATTATTATAAACTTTAGCTATCACCAAATGTGGTGGACATATTCAACTCAAAAGGCATCAAATTCAATTGTTTTGATTCAATTCCACCAGGGAGGTTAAGTGAAAGGCTGGGGGACCTAAGCAGCACTGGTTACACATGGGCACAGTCCATCTTCTCAACCACACTTTGAGTGAATTGTTCCCAGGTTACACATGACAGAATTGAAATCTATTAAGAGTATATAATTTTGCAAAAGTGCCACAGGTAGTAATGGATGTGTTCACATTGGAATCTAGGTATTTATGTTTCCAAAACATGTTCTTTTCACTAGAAATTCACTGAGCACAAAACTATGTCCATAGCTACTCAGTGAGATTGCAAAATAGAGAACTCCTGCCTTTCATGACCTGTGACAAATAGCTGTGGAAATGGCAGAGGCAATCAAGAAACTGAGGCACACATGATCCAGCTGTAGTGCCTCCAGAACTCAAAGTTCAAAACAGTAATTAAGAAATCAAGACAGAGTGTCTGACAGAGGGTTACTCTATTGATGGCATGCCCTAACTCCCCTCAGGGTTCCCACATTCGGGCCACTGCTCAACCTCCTTGGCTACTGGCAGATTGCAAGGGGCTGTCATCCATGTACTGTAACAAGCTCTGTGGTTGTGTCCCTTTTGAGTTGTCTTAGGCCAATGTATATCTCTGACTCTTCATCACTTAGTCCAGTGACTCTCAAATGTTACCTGTGTGTCAAAATATTCTGAGGATCTTGTTAAAATGTCTCTTAGGTAGGTCTGGGGCAAGCCTGAGATCGTTCACTCCTAATGAGCTCTTAAGTATTGCCACTGCTCTTGCTACTCTGAGGAAGACACTTGCAGCAAGGAGTTAGTCTATTCCATTGTTCCTTTAGTCTGAATTTTGGCAATTGGCAAAAAATAAATAGCCAACCACCTTGTTGTACACTTAATACAGTGCCAGGTATTTTGCAAAGGCTCAATGAACATTGTGAGTGATATATTGCATATAAAAGAAAATTTAATAAGAATACATTTTACAAATTGAAACCCACCTAGAATATAAGAATGTTTCTTGAATCAATTATGGTTTTAATGAAATCTTGGCTGGATGTTGTCCTTTAGATGGCTTCATATTTATCTGATATCCTGATTTCTAGCAAAAGAATCTAGACTATGTGTATCTTTTTGAAGCAAGAAGGAATAAGGGAATATTTTCCCCCTCAGCTAAGAAGGTTTGGTATATTTCTTATCTCTTTTGTTGTTTACTACATCACATGCATTAACTAAAAGAATGAGATCTGGTAAAGAGTAAGTGCTCAATAAATATTTGGTGGAGAAATAGAAGAATTGGCTTCATAATTCAGAAACAGAGAGGGGGGAAGAGAAAGATGTGTACAGAGAAGCACTGTTCCTAAAAGTATAATGAAAAAGAATAGATTGACACAAATATAAAGATGTATAGAAACTACTGATCTTAGGCTCAAAATGCTCAGCTTGCTTAATTACTACATTAATATTCATTAAATGATTTAAAGATTTTAGGCTTGAATATAGAAGATATTTTAGTCTAACCCAATGAATTTTTATACTTCTTTTTCATAATGTAAGAAAATTGAGCAGAAAGTTTACAAAAGAATTCAAATTCACTTCATATTTTTCTCAAAGAGTCAAAGGATATCATATCCCCTTGTACCAGTGATATATAGACTGTAATTTTGCTTGACACACTAAATAACTAGAGTAAATATGATTCAAGGAATTTAGACCTTAGGGAAGAAGTGGAGAGAGCTCACCAGCATTATAAGCAGTAAGTAAAGTTAAAATTCAGAAATTCTTGGCTTTAGCTCTTTTTGAGGACATTTTCTTCAGTACTTTTTTTTTTATAATTCTCTTATTTCCTACCATTTTCTTTTATTGTCACTTGGTGTCTAGTGATGTCAATGGTTTGAAGAATTTCCTCTTGGTGCAGCAAGAATAAAATTGGCTTCATTGAGTCATTGCTCTATCTCATAAGAAACCAGTTCTACAAGAAGAAGCCTAACTAACTGAATTCATTACCAACACTCTGACTACAAATGGTGACAACTTTAAATATGTAAAGGATAGGATATAATAAGACGTTGGTTAAAGTAATTGCAATGAAGTAAAGGAGAATATAAAAGATTTGAGAGATACTGATGGTGTAAACTAGAGAAGTTCAGTGAATGTAGCTCATGGGGGAGAAGAATCTGGTGGACTCTACCATTCTTTAGAACAAATAGTCTTTGAGGAGGAGAAGGTGTAGGTGTGTTTGGGGATCTATTGAAATCAGTTTCAAACATGTTAAATTTGTGCTATCCGTGGAGTTACCTAAATAAATGAACATTTATGTTTTTTTTAATGTATTTTTATTTTTATTTCTCCTTTTATTTTATAGGTTTTTCTTTTACTTACATGTGCATACATTGTTTGTGCCACCTCCCCGCAACCCCAACCCTTCACTCCCCTAACCCTTGGCTTCCAGGCAGAACATGTTCTGCCCTCTTCTTTTCCAATTTTGTCAAAGAGAAAACATAAGAGAAAATAAGAAAGACATAGTATTTTTGCTAGTTTGACTGCTAGAAAGAACTTATATTGAATCAAGCTGAGGATAAGTATCTAAAACAAGAGATAGAAATTATAGGGTCACTAATAATGGGGAAAAGAAATCAAATAAAAATTTTAGTAATAATCCAGGAATGACAACAAAGAATGTGTGAAGGGATGTAAGAGTAAAATAAAATGGAACCAGGGACATGGAAGCTAGGAAAGAGCAAAATTTCTAGACAGGCAGAGGAGATAATGAAGAAAGAATAATGAAGGAGATAGAGGAGAAATGATCTGGGAGGTGTGAGAGCTTAGAGTAACCAAAGACAAGAAAGATGAGTGTTCAAGAACAAAACATGACTAAAAGGCAATTTGAGCAAATATGTGTACACACACACAAGAAGGGATAAATGTTTATATCACATATCAAGGAGAAAATAGGAATGACTATAGAGCAGAGAGGTAGAAGGATAGAGGAGACACATTTCCTCCTGTGGCTGAAGAATATTGGACAAGTATAGTAAAGAAGTAGCTTTGAGTGAAAGACGGGAAGTCGAAATACTTTATGCCAAAGGGTTTCAGTTTTCACAGAGAGTGAGAAGACACTATGGAGGCAGCAGTCAAAGTGGGGTAAGGGATTGGAGGAAAGACCTGAGGATTTTGAATAGCAACTATAGTGTGAGATCCAAGGACTAGTAAAGACTCATGATACAGTATTGTAGCACAAGTCTTCAATGTAATGTGATTTTGTAAGCAATATCTAGCTGTGCAGACATATGAGAGGACAAGACCTGCCAAAACTGGCATGAGGCCTTGGGTGCCATCACAAGCATCTAAATAAATAAATAATAAAATAAAGTGGCCCATGTAAATTTTGGTTTACTATTTTAAAAATGTTAAAAGAACAATGTTGTATAGAGGATAGCTGCTTAATTAAAAATAAAATAATATGATTTAATTAAATAAGAACTTACAAATAGTTAGCGTTTTCAAACAACAGAAGATTATAGTTACTTTTTCTTTATTTAAATGTTCAATGAACCAAAAACAATACTATTCCTTTCTAAAGCACATTTCAAAAGGTTTTAACTTTAGCAATTATAATAGTAAAGCGAAACCAAATGTGATCTATAGACACTATATCATCTTTTTGTAAGTTGCTTGCTGTATAAACATTGAAAAGACATTAATAATGATACTAACCCAGGATCTTTAGCTCAGCATTTGCGTAAATGACTCCATAACTGTTTTCTGCTATGCACTGATACATACCAGCATTTTCAAAAGTCACATCATACAATCTCAGTTCCCCTTTATGATACTGAAAAGAATAAAAGTAAAACACATAGTCTTGATATATTTTAATAGAAATGCTTTCATTTAAGTTTGTGCTTAATTGTCATTTAATTTAGATAGGTTATACTCATCTGCCTCACTGTTACCTAAAATATGTAGAGTGGGATTTTTGTGGCATGGGGAAGAAAGGCCCACTTACCAATGGCTCCTGTTCTATTCATCTCACAGAGCTGAGAGTCTACATTTTTCCCTTTTGGACCAGCTGGGAGATTACAGTGGGATGGTATAGTGGGGATCCCACTGCTTCTACTTGTCTCTGGGACTAAAGGTAAGACTTAGAGCATCTCTCTTACCTGTTTCTGTGGGGTTCAAGGAAACTGGTGAGAAAGAGGGGACAGTTTCAGGTGTTGGAGGTAGATGAGAAGGAAGTGGGGGGTGGGAAATTGGAACAAAGGAAAAAATAAGAGAGAGGTAAGGATGAGATTACGGAAAGTTGTTTAAATTGAAAGAAGATGTTTAATGTTCAGTTTATTGCATGTTGTTTTTTAATGAAGCTTTTATATTTCAGGGTCCAAATACCCTTATTCTACTGACTCTCCTGCTATACTTACGCTGGGACCACCCTGAAATGATGCCTGAATATAAAGTCAGGGATAGCAAAGCACTAAACATACATACCGCATATCCATTTTTCAGCCATCGGATTGTAGGAATGGGCTTCCCGGTGGCCACACAAGGCCAGTAGAGGTCACTTCCTATGTCAACCTCTGTGTCATTGATATGCTCTACCCATTCAGGAAATGCTAAAAAGTAAAGAACATTACAAATGTCAAACACAAATCTCAACAACCACCATAATCATAAACATTACATTTTGTTAATTGTATTCTTCAGTATGTGTCCTGACATCAATGTGACAGCTATTGAAATTGTATTTGCATAGGTCTGTATCCTACACAAATCCTGCTGTTATCACAGAATGAAGTAACTATAGTTTAATTAGCAGTTACATTTATATTTTAAATCATGTTGTTTTGAAAACTAAATTGATTTTTTTTCCTTCACATAAATCTTTCGATCTGTCAAAATGAGAATTTGAAGATTTAAAGTAATATATCTTGATTGGTATACCATCATCTTTTCACCTTTTGGGTAAAGATTCAGATTTTTTTCTCCACTCCCTCAGGTACACATTATCTTCAGGTATACATATGTATATATTACATATATACATATATATATGTTGATTTAGGATTTTTTTCAGTAATCATATTGGTCTGTGGATATAATTTTTAAAAATTTAATATTGGAAGATATCTTCATGTTAATTGGTAGTATTATTTTTAAATTTTACAGTTCTAACCAGAATTGTTCTCCTCTTATGAGGACACTCCATGTACACTTGGCAAGTGTCAAGCGAATACTATCACGTCATTAGATATACACGTAGAGTTTGGGGGACGTGCCTTGGTTAGAGCTCTGAGGGTATAGTGCATGTTGAACACCATGGTCGTGGATGAGATCATTGAGGGAATGATAGAAGCAGAGTATAGGTTCAAAGAGTGAACACCAATTGCTCCAATGTTAGAAAGGCATGGAGTTAAGAGGATACTGCAAAAGAGAGTGAGAGTATTGTACAGGGAAATTAACAGAGTGTGGGTTCCAGGTGCCAAGTACAGAAAGTGAATCAGGGAGGAGAGAGAGCTCAGTGTGTTCACTGATATTGTCAGATAATATATAGCTGAAAACTGAGCTTCAGTTTTAGCAACTAGACATCATTGGTGATTATGAAAAGAAAGGCTTCAGTGGAGAAGTATAGTTGAAAACCAAGTTGGAGTGCACTTCAGAGAGAAGAAAACTAGAGACAATATTTTGGGAGTGTGGATGAATCTATCAAGATTTTTTATTATGTTTTGGGAGAGACTGGAAGAAGAAAAATGAGGCATTAGATTTAAAAATGAATGATCTTAATGAAGCATTGTGAGTGTTTACTCACATTGTAAATATAGAAATGATTTCAGCTCAAAAAGTTTCAAGTGTTGCCTGAAAAAAAAAAAAAGATCTTCCCAGGTAAAAGTTTAGTATAATGTGTGAGAATCAAAGATTTGCACCAAGATAATTTTGTCCAAGAAAAAACTTTCTGCAGAGTATGATATACATCACTATTTTAAAAATTGTTAACTTTATATGGCAGTTTTCAGGTATGGCAATAGCTCTAAGATTTATAGAAAATTGAAATATCTACCTTGGACATAAATTCTTGCCTGGTGTTTATCCTTTCCTTTAATGTTCTCAGCCTCACATTCATATATGCCTTCATCTTCTAGCTGAATGTTGAAGATCTTGAGGACAGCCCCTGAGGTGCTAATCTCAGCAGTGCTTGGCATTGGTTCTAGGACCTTCCGCCATCGGATGTCAGGAACAGGACTTTAAATAAAAGATACAAGAGCTTGAAAGCAACAGAATGTACAAGACCTTGTGTTTATAGCTAACCTAGGTTTATAGCTAAGCATTTACATCTCTTATTTCCTAAAAGGGTTCAAAACTAATATTGTTCTATATATGGTAATGAAAACCATTACAACACATACTTACTTTCCAAGTGCAAAACATTCTAAAGTCACATTTTGGCCCATCAATGCATATACATCCTTGAACTGCACTACAATATCAGCAGGATATGGTTTTGTTGTTCCTAATATTAAAAGAAACACAAACATCTGTGAATTATTAAGCACACTACTTATTTTTAACATTGTAGGATTAGAACTGCTTTAATATGAAAGTCTTTTCTCTATACTGGTCATATTGCAATATATAGACTTGTTTGTTTATATCCAATATGTATAAGTATGCACTTCATGAAGCATTTTTAATACTTTCCAACAACTGTATAACTAATCTGAATCAATTCACTGCAAATATTCAAGGAGTTGTTAAGGAGCATCAAATATGTAAAAAAATGTGATCAGTGCTACACAGAACTTAGGAAAACAGCAAAAGAAGAAAGGAAATGAGGGAAAATAGAAAAAAAGAGAGTAGAATAGAAAGAAGGGGGTTAAGAAAAGAAAGAGAAAAGAAAAAACTTTCTACAGACATGAAGGCAAATGGGAAGCAAGTTAAAAAGGAAAGAGGGAAAGAAGGAAAATATTTATTCAGACAATACTGTGCTACTCAATCTATGCCATTTATTTAGCATATCAGTCCTAAGAAACAGACTTAGAAAGCCTAATAAATTGTTTAGGATGATAATGTGAGCTTGTACATTACACTACATAATGTTAAGGACACTAATAAATACATAATGGCATAATATATACATTAAAATGAAATAACTAGTCTGAAAGAGTAACTTACCAAGGGGGGAATTTGAAGTATGGAGGGGCTATAGGAATCTCAGACAAAGACCAGTTCAACAAGAACAGTTCAGGTTGAGGAAATAGGATATTATGACAAAGTGCCTAGGTAGAGTAAGGGATTACAAAAGGTCTAGGAACTTAAATGACTTAAAATATATGTAGTTGGAGATCAGCTTGAACTCAAAATGTAGCAGGCCTAAATGCATGATACTAAAAGTTTTGAAATTAATTTCCTCAGTGGCTAATGACCAGTGGGATTTGGTAAGAGAAGTAATATTGATCTTACCTTTGGTTTATGTAGACCTTGGCAATTTTAAAGGATGAAGCATGGAGAAGAGAAATATAGAAGACAGTCAGAGACCTAAAGGAGGCTACTTCATTAATTCAGGAAAAACACATAAAGACTAAAACTAGGGTAGAGGAATAATAGATAATAGAGTGGAAGAAACAGATACAAATTGTATTTGAGAGGCAGAATCACTGGGACTACTCCTTGGATCAATGCTTTTCACTGTACAGATCAAAGGCCCAATGACTCAGAATCTCCTGGAATGCCTATTGGACTTGCACACTCTTAAGTTACATCCCAGTTATTCTGAATGAGTATCTCTGGACTTCTAATGTTTGCTATACTTCCCAAGTGCTTCAATACTAATTAAGAGCCATGAAATTAGCTGTCATGAACATCAGAGGAAGAGAAGCGTTCATGAGTGAAAATGCTATCTTCTTTTACAATTAATAAAATGGTATTGCCAAATGAGCTGAAGAACACCAGAAAAGATAGAAGTTTTGTGAGAAGCTTGCAGGTGTGTTCTAAAGATCTGGAACTTAACATCTTTGAGACTCTTTTATGAAGTTGACTCTAAGATAGAGGTAGAATTAAAGTCGAAACACAAGGAAAATTTAGGGATATGAATTTAAAGTCATTTGCATAGGGCTACTATTGAAAATATGTAAGTAGGTAAGAACATCTAGGAAACTTTTGGAGAGTAAAATAAGAAGGAAAAGGGATCTGGTTAAAAGCTGCTGTATAAAAGTTGCCAGAGAAGCAGGCGGGAGTTGAGGAGCACAGGAAGTTAGAAGAATTGAGTGGCAGAAGAGGAAGTGTCAAGGATCTAAAATAGACTCAGGACCAAAATGTGTTTTTGGATTCAGCAGGAATTTCTTGTGATTGTCCAAGTTTGTTTGTGTTGAATACAAAAGAATATGCTGAGAGAATGATGAAGAGCAGATTTTGAAGGAAAGAAAGGAAATAAGTGATGTAGTGAAGTCTCTAATTGAATCAAATGGGATAAGACTAGAGCAACTGAAAGAATTAGTTTGAATAGGAGAAAAATATTTTTTCTACTGAGACAGGCAGTGAGAAAATAAGTAGAACCACTGAAGTACAAGTTTATTTCTGGGGGAGAGAAGGGAAGAAAATGAAGGGACTATTTCACACAATGGCTTTTTTTTTTCTACTTTGTGAAATAGGGGATGAGAGTATCTAAGAATGAGGATGGAAAAAAATGAGCCAGAAATTCAATAATATTTACCAAATACCAATTACAAGACTGTTCCCTCACAAGGAGAAAGAAAAATTGTTTCTCAGTGGCATTATAGCATTTTCTCCATTTATTTAGTGGTAGAGACAGGAATCAAACTTAAGTCTTTCTACTCTGAGCTGGTCTTTTATCAAAAGCTTGAACTCACTACTATTAATATAGCAGCAGGAATGGGATAAAGATAATGTAAAGAAAGCAAATCTATTGTAATGTGTTGAAATGCACTATAAGCATTTTTAAAAGACAGGTAGTTCAGTTAAAGCCTGGGGAAAAGACCAATCAATAAGTCAGTGATCAGCAGGGCCCTGAGGTACCAGAATACAGGGACACAGTAATTAGCATGGCACCTTATGATAACTTCTTAGAGCAGAAAAGGTCAATTTACTTATTGTTCCTTAAAATACCACAATAACCAAATTGCCTTTTCCTTTCTAATTCTGAAGTCACTATTGTTTATTTTGATCTTATTTGGTTTCTTCATGAACATACTAAGAAGTAGGAATGTCAATGAAGCAAAAAGCAGAAAGCAGTGATTCCCACTGCAACCAATGTACTGATCCTGGACAGATGGACAAGCTTTCCTCCTCATGCATGCATTTCCTGTACTACAGGCAATTAACCTGAACCCAACCACACTAGGCCAATTACATTAGAGAACTCTTCTCAACCAGAAAAGCTAGGTACAAGACCTTCTACACACTCAAAGTGCATAGCTTTTGTTTGGCCTGCTTAAAAAGAAGGCTGGTCTCCCCAGTAGCTATTTCTTCTCGGTATTATAGGTCTACCATAAGCAGATAGCCTTACAAACATAGTGTAACAAATATAATGCTTACGTTCAGGTATGGGAATGAGTGGGATAAATTTGCTGAACACACTCTTTGTAATAGAAGGGCTGGATACAAAGCAGGAATAATTGCCTTTGTCAGAAGCCTCAACATTTGCAATGTAGAGGTTGCCATTTGTCTGAGATACAAATCTTCGTTTATCCATGGTGATAAATACAGGAAATTCATTTAGAAGCCAGCGGTAGCTAAGATCATCTAGAAGAAAACATTGGCTACTAAATATTAAATTCTTCTCCAAAAGCAAAGAGAATCTATTAGAAGTTACAGTACAACAAATGTTGGAAGAAAGCCAAGACACAGTGCAAATTTCCTAATAGCTACCATGTTTTTCAAGAACGTATGCATCAAGCTAAGCAGCATACTTACTTATCTATTAGTTTATGGACTCTTAACAGTCTTACTTACATTTTATTGATAAATTAATTGAAAGTTGGAGAGATTAAATAATTTGCTTAGAATTTCAAGACCATTAAATAGAATTGAGATGTTTTTGAACCCAGGTCTAAAAACTGCCCTGCTGTATTTAATAAATAACCTCAAGATGATGTACTATACTGTGGTTTTATCTTTTTTACTTTCTCTACTCTTATTTTAAATTATAGATTTAGAAATGAGTTTATATAATCTGTTGTGATCACATTAAAAAGTAAAAACCACAGAAATGGAAAAGCATGCTGCTGGTTTTCTTAAATAGCAGGAAATGGTTACTCTTAAGCATAGTTTTTGGCTAACCACATTAGATACTTAAGTCAAAAGTTGAATTTCTATTTTAATTTGCTGCTTTTCCTGTTCCTGCCTTGATGAATACAAGTCATTCAACAAATATACAAGAATATACAAGATGAAACTATGGGTAATGCATACTTCTAGATTGCTAAAGTGATAATTTCCCTTTAAAATATCTTGATTATGTGAAGATAATGGCCACTAGAAAGACTATAATTAGAAATCTCTCTTGCTCAGGTTCAATAGGATTTTAGATGTAAAATGGTGAAAAGTAAAGATCTCATAGCATTCAGGTTTCTTTTAAGGATTAAAGTATCATGACAAACCACCATTTCACTTTAGGGAACTAAAGATGAAAAGAAACACACACACTCTGAGCTCTGTATGGTTGGGAATAAGACACTAGACATTACATTTAGATTTTCTGAGTAATTTTCTCTAACATAAAGGGTCAGGAAAGACAATGAAGATTATTGCATTATTATTATTATTATTGGTTTCAAATCTTGATTTTTTTTTATTGAAGCAGTATATGTTCATTGTTGAAAATGAAAAATATAGATAAAGTTCTAAAAGGAAGAAAAACTATCATCGTCAGCCTCTATCTCAGAGTCTTTGTTAACATAATATCTTTGTAGACATTTATATTTGTGGATAACTGAATTTTTTAATTTGTAACTTCATGCTGATTTAGGGTCATAGAAGAATTAGAATTAGGGAAATGCTTAAATTTCTGAAATCATGGCATCTTGAGTTGGACAAGAATTCTTTTCTTCAGAATGAACTCTCATGTCTTTCATCCCAACTGAAATATATAGTATGCTTTGAGAAGATTTTGGCCTTTTCTGATTCAGAAATAATTTTTCTCATCCTCAAAATTAAGAGGACAATCATTATTTTGCAGTTGTTTCTGTAGAAATGTAGATTTTAATTTTGGTTTTGATTAGACTGTTTTGTCACATCAATTCATCTTAAATTTAAGACACTTTCTTTTAAGTAATGAAAGATGGCATTTGATAAGAAATGTACATAGAGGAATAAGTTGTGATATTTGAACTTTTAAAGTATGGCACTAGTGAAAGAAGATTTTGTGGAGATGTTTGTATAAACATAAGTCTTGAACCATAAAGCAATTGGTCTCATTAATTTAATGTCCCTTGTATATTCTCTAATTGACTGATTTTATACAAACTTGAGTACCTTCAATAAGACATTAAACAAGAAAGATGTGGTTTTGCCTTAGTGTGACTTGTAACATAATCCATCTAAATTTATCTATCAAATCTAGCCTACTGATGGAGTCATTCACTTATTTGTAATATGTTTGAAACTGTACACTATCCTTACAATGAAGGTATCATTTTCAAACAGGCAAGCCAAAGCCTTGCCAGGTTAAGTGATTTGTCATAGGGAAACAAACTGATAGTTTACCCTTCCTCCCTGGGCCTCCATCTCCAAAATAATCTGTGCCATGACTACAGTGGTGGCCACTGACCTGAAAGTAGGACAATTTTGGCAATCAAGAACTAAGTCCTGCCAGGTGCCAGTGGCTCACACCTGTAATCCTAGCTACTAAGGAGGCAGAGATCAGGAGGTTCGTGGTTTGAAACCAGCCCTGGCAAATACTTCAAGAGACCAAATCTCGAAAATACCTAACACAAAAAGGGGCTGGCTGAGTTCAAGCCCTAGTTCTGCAAAAAAAAAAAAAAAAAAAGAACTAAGCTCTAACCCAGTTTTCTAAGACTCAATGGATTTTGTTTTCTACCTGTTTTCATCAGATGATAAAATCAATCATCTTTTTTTCTGCTAGCACTGTGGACAGTATTAAATAATAAATTAACATAACATTAATTTTTAGGAAGAGTAAGTACTAGCACATGTTTAAGAAATGCAGATTTTAGCAATAAATATAGACAACTTCTTCCCTTTCCCCAGGACAGTCTGGCATATTACATATTGTATATTACAGGGGAAATTTATTTTGCCCACTTGCAGTATATTTAGCTAGTTTCACTGTATTAGTTTGTATCACTTCACTAATCTTGCTAGATAATACATCTTTCTCCTAGAAATAAAATTGAAGTACTTCAGTGTGCCCTGGAGGAATATGCTGCAACTTTATAAAAGATTTTTATGTCTTTAAAAAAAATTAGCCTTGACAGAATGGAATTTGCATACACCTATAAAATCAGCATAGCTTTGGATCAGTGTTTTGATATGGTAAACTACATTAGACATGTTTAGAAATTGATTTATTCACAATGGAAGTGAATAGATTCCCTACCTTGCTCTCCTACTCTTGTGTAATGATACTCACTCACAATCATGTTCAACATACAGGAAGTTATTTTTCCTAAGCGTATTCCTACTTATGAAATTTTAAATTCATGTATGTGTCTATTATTAGGTATTTTATATTTTGTTAACAGTGTCCACCCTCCAAATGATAGGCTTTTCCCTTTCCATTCTCTCTCTCTCTCAGTATACAAGGATATACTTTATATTTTGTGGGATGTAGTAAGTCAATTTTTAACAGTTATTTTCAGTTGAAATACATATGTGTCTGATGTATTTCATATCAAATAATTTATAACAGTCTGTTAAGTTCCATATCTCTATGGAGATATTAATGTAAAATTTATGAAATAAAGAGTAAAAACATTTTTATTGTGAAAAGTGTATGGCAAAATTTAATAAATAAGATGAGTAAAAAATAAGTCTATGAAGCATTTGCTTTTTAACTAGCATTTTGTGGAGTTTATTCTAGCTGCATCAAATTGAGGAAACATGTGTTCAAAGTTGATCTCATAACAGAAGACACTCAATTTTGTCCCCTCCACCTTTTTATTGCTTGTGTTTTTCTTTGTTTTCTTGAAGAGTTAGGGATTAAACCAGGGCCTTTTATATGCTATAGTGCATACTCTACCACTGTGCTACATTTCCAGCCCAGTTTTTCTCCCTTTTTAAAATTGGTTGATGATGATTATTCTTTCAGATTACTGCTCCTACAGAGATTAATAATAATTTGTTAAGGCTTTATTCCTTTCCAGTATTTTAGTTACTATTCACAATATATTGTAGAGGTTAAGTTATTAAGAAAATGATCAGAACTGTTCCATTTCAGGCAATCTACCAATTTTTAGAAAAGCTATCATAATTTCTTATATGTAATAGGAACTTTAATGATGGTATAAACTAACATACACATTGTTTATAAACTGAAATGATCAGAGATTCTTAGGATTAGGTCCAAGAAATGAGCCAACAAAGTGTCTGCATCCACTAGTAAGTGAAGCATTTCAAACTTCTGCAAATATTGAATCTCATTTAATTAATGATGAGCCATGATCATTAGACTAATTACATAATTAATAATGTACCAGTATTATTAGACAAGTAGAAACGCGCCCATTTCATTTCATACATGTTTTTAGTCACAGAGAAACTAAGTTTACCTGGAAAATGGTATGGAGGGTCACAGAGAAGCACCATCCCTTTCCCTTCTTTCACTCTGACCTCAGGACGTTCTTCAGGTGGGAAAGGATCAAGATCTACTCATGATAGAATAAAAAGGAAAATGTAATTTTACCTTTTAGTCATGAACTCACTTTTGAGATACAGCACCTCTCAGTTGGTTTGGGGAGACCCATGCAAGTCAACTTGTTTTTTACAGCAGTATTTGGATTTAAGTTCTGTCATGAGCTCAAAGCTTACAAATGTGGGTAGCTGCCTGCATAAGAATTCTAGCTATCCCAAAGACTACAAATCTCCTAAAAACTTGATTTAGGGAGAATCTCAGTAAGGAATATAATGTGTTCAGGAAAACCCAGTGGTCGACCTAAGAAAGTAAGTAAAGAAGAATGGACTCATTGGAAGAAAGCATCAGTTCCCTCCCTGAGGGAGTACTTAGATGCCAGCAAGAAATGAGTAAAAAGCGGGGGTCCCAGTTAGAAAACATGGAAGTGATCAGCCATTCCCTCCTTTTAAAATTCTGGTTGGTCTCAGTTCTAATTTCTTTTATTCATTCATCTATATTTGGAACTTACATTTTGCTTCATTCCTGGATCTGGGACTACTTTGATTCTTCACTTGTTTTACTTACACTCATTCTGTTTCATTCCTGACTTGCCACTTCTTCCTTATTTGTGATCCATATCCAGATTATAATACCAGTCTTTACTTTCCCCAATGTAATGTATATTTCTGAAAAATCCCTTTATTCTAAGTGTTATCTTTTTGCAGAGGAGCTTTCAAGTTGACCTCTCTAGCCTTGCTGTCTCACTTGACTACCATCCTCATCTGTAACTGCTTACTTGACATTTCAACTTCAGGTTGCCATACATTCTGAATTTGGAACAATCATGTAGATACCTCCTCCACCCTTGAAACTGGTTTTCTTGCTCCCATCCCATTTGAAAAAAAAGATATTTAAAGTCTTCTTTCCTTCAGTGAAATGCAAATTGTTCATTCTTTCTTTGAGGTTGGTGTACTTGACTTACATTCCACTTTCACTACACTCATTTAATCTTACTATTCTTGGCCTTGTCTCACTCCTTCTTGGTGACCTCTAGAATTTCTTAAAACATCATTTTCATCCTATAATCCATGCTGCCAAAGATATGAATACTGACTTACAAATCATAAATTAGCAATCAGTCATCTGGTCTAACTTGTCTCACAATGTACAACATTCTTTTATCAGACCTCTAATTTTTAGCCTAGAACAGTATTTCTCAAAAAGTTTTTTTTTTAATTTTGCCTCCTAAAAGGGAAAATTTTCATTTAATTTAAATTTAATATAAATAAATTTATAAAAATATAATTAAACTTATTCCTATGAAGACAAGTTAAATATTGAAGAATAAGGTATTATGAGATAGAGTTGGGCTTTAGAGAGCCACAAATCATCATGTTGTAATATCTAAAATGTTTTCTTCCCCTAATACCCAATTTTCACTTTTGTGGAGTTGCTATTGTCCCCTTTGGAAGTACTAGAGTATAACTTCCATTGATTCCAGTTTTTAGAGTCATTCAAGATCCCCCCAGAACATAGTCTTCATTTATTATCCAAGTGTGTAACACTTTGTTCACCACATAAAGCCCAAACATCTTGAAAGACCCATATTTATTGTGCCTTCTCACTGTCCTTTCTTGATTTCTCTACTTACTGAACTATTAAGGTAGCACTTATTGATATCTATCTTACAGGTCACAGCAGAATTCCTGAATTTTAATTTAAAATCTTCATGTGCATATGACTTATCTCACCACCACCAACGTGCCAACTGGGGAGGGGTAAGGAATGTGTCGTCCTTAACAACTCATACAAGAAGCGTTCAGTACTTTTGTTGGAATGGGGAGGCAGAATGGTCCATTTTTCACTGAGAGACTCTAACATGAAAATTTTAATACAAGAACAAAGCCAAAAGAGTTGACTGTTACAGAATGAGCCCCCCAGGTTATATAGACTTTATCAATAATTAAAATATACCTAATTTTCCCTTTACCAAAATAAACTTTCCCCTTAAAAAAAGTTGCACTTGCTTACATCCAAAGCTCAGGATTGCTTCAGTGCTTCTGACCATCCCATAGTTGTTCGATGCCAAACAGTAGTATGTTCCAGCATCTTTCTGCTTGTCGGGGTTGTTGATAACAAGGTTTCCTCCCACCATACTGTATCGATCACTTGTCAGGTCAACATCCCCGTTATTCATTCTCCATCTGTGTGAAAAAGATATAAAGGATATCAAAAGTTATGAGGCCTGGAAACTTTACTAGGCTGACATCATTCTTAAATAATTTGAATACAGCTCCACATGAAGTATGATGATTAAGTATGTGACAAACGTGGTATTTCTTCATACCTTATAATCTCAATATTCTGAATCATGATTTATAGTTTAACTATGGTGTATAAAGGCAAATGTCAAACTGAATGACACATCTCCTCTTTTTTTAAATGAAGCATCCTAAATAACAAATAGCTTCATATATATCTATATACCTTGTGTAAAACATTAAAAGCATACACTTAGCAGAAATAGAATATAAACTGTCAATATCTGATTGTAAACAGCAAAGTAATTTTTAAATAAAAATAGTAGAAATCAGGGTTCTATTCAGTAATTGGCATAATCTGACCACTAGAGGGCCATCACACAGTTTGAAAAAAAAAAAACTTGGTTGCGTCTTTTGACTCCAAATCACAAATAAAAGAAAAGGAGAAATGACCCAAACATTGTATGCACATGTGAATAAAATAAAAAATAAAAAAAGACAAATAAAAGAAAAGCCATATTTTCTTCAGCTTAGAGTTAATGATCACTGGTGCTTTTTCACATTATTTAGGTATGATTTTCGATGATGGGATCCCTCTACACACAACACATAATCTTGTATATAACAATGTAGGTGAAGCATGTTGCAGATAATTGCACCAGTAACTGACAGGGATTGTGTTATAAATACACTGACTGGAAGCAGGGATCTGGCTTTCTTGGTGAGACGATGAGAGGAATGTATGAAGAAAATGGTGAGACGAGAGGAATGTATGAAGAAAATAGTTTTCAGTTAAGATGAAAACCTGCATAATTTTACAGCCACTCTGTGCCAGGGTTTCTCTTTCAGGGTACCATGTCAACAGGAATGTCATAAAACAAGAATTCTGGTGAAGTAGCTCAAGTAGTAGTAACCTATGCCTACATTGCTCACTGCCAGGCACATTGCTGATTAGGGTAGAAATGATGCAAAAAATGCCTCATGATTTTATAATATCTTTTATAAATTAAAGTTACTAGAAACATTTTTAGTCATAATCTTTACAGTATAGGAGGTAATTTTAAAAGCAATCATACAATACCATGCATTTGCACTCCAACCCAGTAAATAACTCCTCCCCTTTCCTCAAGCTGACAGCTATATTGTCCTGCCTGAACAATCAGTGCACAGTTTTTAGATTTGTCAAGTCAATAGGTTTAGTTGGACAACTCCAATTGTTAGTGGTTTTTTTCTCTCTCTATTTTATTGTCTCCAAATTTGTGTTTACTGCCTTAACCTCCTTTCTACAGATCAGGTCCTGCTTACAGTACAGCAATTAAGTTTCAATGTTTGGGTAAATAACCTGTCTTTTTCAGAAACATACACTATTGTTGTAATCCCTTTTGCATTTAAATACAGTTTTTATTGTAGTGCTTATTTCTTGGAGGTGGAGGTAAAATAATGGAAGCCTCAAAGTGATCCTGTTGTACCTCTCACCTCTCAGGGTGTTTCCATGAATAACACATTAGCACAGAGCATGCTACAAATATAAAACTAATGTGTGAGTGACAAATTGCATGATTACTAAGGTTAATATGACTTGCTATGATTATTAAGTAAATTTAAAACTTTGAGTCTTCTTTTTCATCAGACTAGCTAATTTTCTCCCTTCCTCCCTCTTTTCTTCCTTCCTTTGTTCCTTCCTTCTCTTTTACTCTTTAATGTAACTTAATCTTTTGCTATCAAGTGCAGGCTGTCTTCATAACAGGATTGAACATCTACTTGGTCTTTGTAGCTCTCTATATTAATGTATGGATACCTAGGCCAACTCAACCTGGGGAGTTCAGTGTTACTGCAACCTGTGGTAGAGAGTCAATGACATACTTCCCTTGCAGTTTCATCTATTGTCTCTGCCAGGTGGGGAGTATGCAGCAAGGATAGCCCTGCTCATGGTGTGTTTCTAGAACAATGTCTGAGAACAGCCTCTGCTGTTTGGTTGCCTCCACTCCATTCCATTAGTGGAGACTGATGGGCTCAGGTTCCTAGAAGGAATGTCAAGGACAGAGTGTCCCAGAATATGCACATCACTGAAGGAGCTTTTGAGATGCTATCAGTCTTCCTAGATAGATAAATACAGCAAAGATTATATGCTGCTTTGAAAGTTACAATGCCTGTATTTTAGTCCTGGATCTGTGATCTGCTTACTTAGGCTTCAGCCTCCTCTCCTGTACAACCATCTTGGGTTAGATAGCATAGGTTTCAATTACACATGTCTTAAGGGTAGAAATAAGTCTAGCCCATTGTATATTTTTAGAATAAATGCATTATTTCTCATTTATATTACACTACCATGCATGAAATTGAAACAATAAAAATAATTTCAAAGGGATGGTGATTTTGTATATAAATGCATATATTATCTTAAGAATAATTTTTAATTATAGCCAGAGGCAAGGGAAAATGAATGCAATTGAATTAAAGGGGGGTAAGAGAATATTCTCTTTGACAATAAATTCTTATGAAAACAGAATGTTATTATTCTATCCAGGAAAAAAAATCTACATTTAAAATCAAGCTTATTGAGTGACAACCTTCAATTAAGTCAGGTGACATTAACCCAATAAAGCCTCCAATTTCCCCATCAATCACTTGCTTTTTCTCCATGGAATCACTGCACAAGTGAAATACAAAGCCATTGACATTTGGTTATGTTTTGAATCTTATTATTTGCATCAGACTAGACACTGTGATATATTTTTCTGAAATATCTGAAGCAAGAAAACCCATTGTTACTTTTTATAAAGTTATTTTTGATAGCATAAATATGGAACCCAGAAAAAATAGAGACATGTTTATATAGATTGTTCAATAGGTGGAGAAATTTATTGTATTATCTGGCGTATAGATTTGAGACTATTGAAAAAAGATAATGCTTTCTGGAATTATCTATGCAAGCTTTATAAATGTAGTTAAGACAGAAATATCATCCATCATTTGTAGGTACTAGTTATTCAGGACAATGTATGAAAAACATTTTAACCTCAAATGTATGTATTTAAATTATGCATGCTTTTCCTATAGCCTTTTTCATGCTCAAAAGCATCATCTCCATTAAGTAAATTTTAAGTGGATGATGTCAAAACTCACTGGCATTATCTGTGCATGAAATAGTAAGTGAATTATCTGCATTTATTTAAGAAAAGGTAACGAATGCATTTGTGTATCAGTGTTTTCAATAGCATGTATGACACATTTATGTTTGTGTGCATGGACTTAGCAGAAAGCTTAGTGTTGCAGCTTTTTCTATAGGTACAGAGCCATGGATGCTGATTTGCACTCTTCAGTTCCACTCTCCATTCTGAAAAGGGCAGTGAGGTACATTACTTGTAAATTGGGAAAGGGCTGGCCCGGGCTCTACAGTTTAGGGAAACTTTTCCTTCCAGTGATTCTTCTGGATAAATGGTATTGATTGGTTGCTCTTCAAAAATTGGTCCAAATCCTTTGTCTTCCTCAGACACTGCAAGAAAAAGAAAATTATTGTACATTGTGCTATATTAAGGCAGAGAAAACTTGGATACATTGAAAGTCATTTTGATAATAATAACAGTAATATGAGTGAGTGTAAAAAGGGGACTGTCTGGTGGGCGTCAGTGAAAGGGGAAGGAAAGGAGAGGCTTCTGGGGTGAAGAGGGTTGAAGTATGATATATAACATACATATATACATACCTATATACATGAGGGTAGCATAATGAAGCTCCCTAAATATTTTTAGAAAAGGGTGGAAGGAGATAGGGAGGTTAAGGAATATATAATAATGGGGGGTAAAAACTTATTCAAAGTACACTGTGCATATCTAGGATAGTTTCATGATGAATCCACCTGTACTATTAAGATATGCTAATAAAGAATAGTTAAAAAATAGAAAAGTTGCTTTTAAAAAGTCAGAAACACAGAATGTCCATTTTAATTTGAAACAAAATTATTACCTCCACAATCCTGATGAAAACAAGTCAGCTTTTCATTCAAAACTTTGTACACATACAGTTTTTGTTTGTTTGGTTTTTGTTGTTGTTGTTGTTTGGCATTACAAGGGTTTGAACTCAGGGCCTCACATTTGCTAGGCAGGCACTCTACTATTTGAGCCATAGTACCAGTACTCATTCAAAACTCTTTTCTGCCTATCTCTCATTTCCCTGCATTGTTCTGCTTAACTACTTATAACTCCTCAAACAAGCCATGTTCTCATGTCTGGACTTTTGCATAGACTTTTTGTCTTTCTAGAATTATCACTCTATTTTTCTCTTTCTATCAAAATTTGTATGGTCCTTTATGGCCTAGTCATAGAGTTAGTTCCTTCAAGAAGCCATCTCTCACCCTTTCTGGCTCTAGCTGATTCTCTTGTGTTCCAAAACTCCCTGTACAAGTGTGGTAAGTACCACACTTGTTTTGATTCTTGATCAAAACTTTCTGTCAGACTAGATTGTCAGTGCTTGGGATCAGGTAGCTCTTTATCTCTATACACCAGTGTCCTAGCTAGCTGTCTAGCTATCTGGACCACCTAAGTGCTTAAAGATTTTGTAATAAGAGAATGAATAAATGAATGAATTTCTAGAAGGTCTAGGGAAATTTTCTTTTTCCTAGCTCCGTTCTTGTTTATTGTTTTCCTAAATGTGGAATCAGTGCTTGTACTCAGCACAATCTAGAAAAACTTATAAACAGATTCATGGGTATCAGGTGTGATGAACTTGTTTTTAATTGCCACAAACACCCACACCCATGTGGGAAAGCAGTTGTCCTGTAGTCTCTCCTCTCTGGAAGGAAGAGTGAATTTGCACAGCAGGCTGAAGAGAAAGGAATGATTCACATCACCAGTGTGGTGGCATTCATGGAGCACAGCTAAGAGCCATATGTTCCAAATGAATTAATAATGATCTGTGGCTAGAAAGGAGGAATATTCTTACATGAGGCACTGGGATGTCTCTGATAAATCAAAGCCATGGTTCACTCTTCCAGTTTATTTTTTAACAGAGGGTTAAAGGCAAAATAGCACAGACTTTTTATCTTCTCTAACATTAAACATGAACATGAGCTCTCTGTTCCAGCATCCCTTACACACAGTTCCATAATGTCATTTAAATCTTGCCTCATTCCCATTTATTAATGTGCTTTTGAACAAATTATTTTATCTCTCCAAGCTTCAAATGAGGATAATAAAATCTGTCCCATAAGGTTATTGTCAGGGTTATTTTGAGATAACACATAGAAGACAGTTGTGTATCTGGCTTACATAATTAGTAATCAATAAATGTTGATTTTGTAGACATTTCATGAATTTATCAATACTTTTCAAAGTTTATATATGTATATATATTCTTATATATATAATTTCCAGAAGCCAATTTGCATATTGCTCTCACACTTAACAGTGGTGATATTATTAGCATTGTGCTGCTATTTTGGACACATGGTACATCCTTCTTGTGCACAGAGATGATGAATAAAGTCCATAAGCTAGCTTTTCCTACTATGAACATTAATTTTTCTGAATGTTTCAAAGGGAGTGTCTTCATGTTTAGATGGAATTCTGAAATTGCCATTTGGAAGTTTATAGGTATCAATCATATTTCATAAAATCCATGCCATTTTGGGTAGCAGATTAAATGCTCAGGGAACTTAGACTTTAGCTCCAGCAGTTCACTAGTTGTTGTTCGGTTACAAGCCACTTGTACTACATGTCTTCTATATTTATAAAGGAAAGAATAGGGGCATATGTCCTAAGAACTCCGTAGGCCAACCATAACCATAAGTGAGATCATAAACACAAGATATTCACAGAAGCTTCTGCTAATGATTTTGACTCTTGATTTTGGCTACCTTTAGTTCTCCATATACTGCTTGAGGCAGGGAAAACCAGAAATGTATATAACACTTTCTGCTTCACTTCGAATAATCTTGATGATGGTACCTGCTATTTTCTGATCTTTCAGGATGTAACAGCACACCAGAGAAAAATGAGAAAGGAATTCAAATTCCTGTGACTTGAGGCTTTCATTTTGCACATAAAGGCCTATATTTTCTGATGTCTAAAAGAAATGACCTTGTACTTCAGTACGATAAAAGTCATAGGCTATTTTTCTTCCCACTTGGACAACTTCATAAGGGCTTCCTTGAGTCTCTCCCAATTGCACAGCTTTTCTGACTGGAGCAATTTAGTAACACCTGGCAATTTGGAGATCCTGCTGTTCATCCCAATACATATAAAAATGTTCAAAAAGTGAAGCAGAGAAGAGTATTTTTATTGGTATATTTAGGTTCTCTTCTTGAAGGTAAGGTGAATTCTATTTCCACTCTACCCCCGAATAAATAATAGTTTTAGTGTGAGCTATTTTAAATAATTAAATAAAAGCTGTAGTACATAAATATCAAAATCTAAAAAAATGTTGTTTAGGGGAGTATAAATCTCATAAATATATTTTAGCTACTCATATTTATGTGGCAAGCATGGTGATGATATTATTATTATTACTATTATTACCAATAGGCCACATCATTAAATTTAAAAAGAATTGGACATGTGACACAGCGATGTGCATGGAGAGGCTAGGAGACCACGAATCTGCCCTGGATAGTCTTCTTGTTCCCACTCCTTACCAGCCATGCTACCATAAGATTTCAGATGGTCACCCTGGAGGCAACAATGGGATGAACTATAGATAGTATTATTCTTAGTTTAGTTAATGACTTGATTCTGCAAAGAGTTTTTAGACACAAGCTTAAAACATAATTCATGAAAGAAAAAGATGAATAAATTGGATTTTATTAAAATAAAAATCTTCTGTTCTGTGAGACACTGTTAAGGAATCTCAGGTCTTTCAGGGTTTCCTTTGGACCTTCTCCAACTTACATTCCACAAGCAACAGATTGGTGAAATTGTTAATTAACTGAATATCTGTCTCATTTAATAACAGAGAACTCATCTCACATGTGCACTATTGCCTTAGCTAAAGCTTCACTGTGTGATTGTATTTCTGAGGCAAAAAAAAAAAAAATACTAGTTAATTCTGGCCTGTGTAGCATCAACTTCCTTACTGGCTTCTGGTAGAGAGGGTCATAATCTAGACTTATCAATTTAATTTTTATTTTTTTAGCTGCCTTGAAAGAATTACCTATATCATTTTGAAGTAAGGTGAATGGTGTTTATAAAATATCATCTTCATTTTATTACTTAAATTAATGTGGTGCTTTCAAATACACTAATTACAGATTGATTCACACAAGATATATCTGTATAGGGATTAATTAGGTTTTCATATTTTAATTGAATGAATTGAATTGAATGAATTTTAGTTGAATAAATCGTCTTTTGTGATTTTTTTTGGAAATTTTATTTTATTTATTTATTTATTTTATTATTCATATGTGCATACAAGGCTTGGGTCATTTCTCCCCCCTGCCCCCACCCCCTCCCTTACCTTCCACTCCACCCTTTCCCTCTCCCCCCACCCCTCAATACCCAGCAGAAACTATTTTGCCCTTATTTCTAATTTTGTTGTAGAGAGAGTATAAGCCATAACAGGAAGGAACAAGGGTTTTTGCTGGTTGAGATAAGGATAGCTATACAAGGAGTTGACTCACATTAATTTCCTGTGCATGTGTGTTACCTTCTAGGTTAACTCTTTTTGATCTACCCTTTTCTCTAGTTCCTGGTCCCCTTTTCCTATTGGCATCAGTTGCTTTTAAGGTATCTGCTTTAGTTTCTCTGTGTTAAGGGCAACAAATGCCCTTAACGCAGAATAGTCTTTTGTGATTAAAGCAAAGGATTTTGAGATAAAAACAGGATATATTTTTAAAAGTTTCTTTATATTGGTTATAAATTTTTTACATAAGCTCATTTTTTATAGAAACAATATCAACAACAGAAATATCCATTAGAAATAATGGAATATTGCATATTCATAGGTTATATATATATGAGGGATAGGCAATCCCTCATATACATATATATATGTTTATGTAAGGCTTAAACAATTTTCGGGTGTATTTTTATAGTTCAAACTAGAAAATATTAGTGCTGCAGGGTATTTTTCTTCCCAATGACATTATTTTTGCACATATTTTCCAATACTCTATTTGCATCTGTCCTGAATAGAAACAATGAAACCTGGTAGTGATAAAAATATGAAACTAAATAATTAAGATATTTCCCTTTGCTCATTCCCTAGATTAAATATCAGGGTAGGACTCACTTCTTATGACATTAGTGTTTCTAGTAAATACTGATATTGTTTTATTTTCTAAATTTTTCCAGCCTGAATAAAATAATGGATTCCATTTGGTGGTTTATCACACACCCCATATATTTTTAGTTGGAGAATATATATGGATCTTTGAAAGGTAAATTGCCCCCAAACAATCATTTCTTTATGTGCAGCATGAATCTCTACATATGGACCCCATTACCCACATGAGGCATTACCTGAGCTCACTGCCCTGTTAACTCAGCAAGAGTGCTCAGCTCCAGTGATAAAAACTTTCCAGGCTAACACAACACCAGGCTCCATAAAGCCTCCATGAACATAGCCATTATACTCGGCCTACAGAAAATAGTGCCATCTATTGTTTTTTTCTACAGCCATGGAAAGGCTTAGATGACAATTTTTGATGCTTTGGAAGGCACAAGAAACAAGAAACAGGGATTGTGTTTAAAAAAGAAGATTATTTTTAAAATGCAGTCCCCTTTTCTATTTCTCTTGAAAAGGGGTACAAAGCTAGAGATCACCTCTTAAACTAACTGAATATTCAACCGTTCATACCACTTTTTCCATTGATCTGTTTGAATGTAAACTCACTTATTTTCTAGCATACAACGTGACTGTTGTTAATCTATTACAGAAATAAGTACATTTCTTAAATGTAATGAAAAGATTAATAAGAAAGATAGAATAACCCATGCATAGTTGCAATAAAATTTATAAATGTGAACAACAGGCAAACATTTCTTCAGTACAGTTTTCGGTTTTAAAATTAATGTGATTTAAACTGGGATTGTTTTCCCTCTCATTACATGGACATGGTCCATGGTATTCTTGTGATTTAATTTTATTTCTGGAAATTGAAAGTAAAATTATAACTTATGCTTGGGAGTTATTTTTATTCATTTTTCTATACATATTGCAACAAATTCCATTTCTCATTCTGAAATATGTCACTACAAGCTGTTAGTTACTAAACATAATTTTGCATAAGTATATTTTAAGAAAGATCTCTGGAAAAACCTATTTGAGAAAAACAATGCCTTCAAATTTTGAAGAATCAAATATTGGAATTTTTACTATATTTACAATATTACAGTTATTATGGGGTGGGTAGTGATGCAAGCTCTGTTAAAATACAACAAACTCATAAAATGAGGAAGTATTTAAATTGTCTCAAGGCATATTTGTACACACTTCAGTTGAAGTCTCCACTTGAACTATTTCCTGCTGACAACAGAATAGAGATGCTTGCTTAGAACTTTGAATATTTTTGTCCCCCAATCAGTTAGGGTCATTCATGAATAATAGTTAACATTTTAATAATTTACCATAACTAAAAATGCAACATGGAGCTGGTGTTCAAAATGCACTGAAATCTGCTTATTAGAATGAAGATGTAAGTCAGGTTAGAAAAAGGTGACTTGAACTAAATTCTCCTTTGCTGGGCTTTACCTGACCAAGGACAGGTATCACTCTCCTGATAGTCACTTCTGGGACCTGTGGTTCACCCTGAGTTATCTAGACACTGCATTTTACATAACTGTCTGTGAATCTTCCCACACCGACCTCATATCTGACTACATGCCAATATATAGATTGCTCCTCCTGGTAGAACTACTTCCAGGACCCAAACTGTCTCGTGATGCCTCTATTTTTAATTAATGGGGCTATGAGTAACTATATTACAAAATAAAAATAAAACATAAAGTGCTATAAAATGTCACTCATATTTAGAGATGGGAAATGAATACTGAAAATAATACTAAGTAACTGATGTGAATCTAACTGAAAAAAATATTCTGGAAATTTGGGTGGGAATATCTCAAAGACATGAGAAATTCCCAGTGTATACTCCACACCACCAAACAATGAACAGAAGTATGTTTTCAATATTAGCTTTGGACACCATAAAGTCTTAACAGAACTCTAAATTTGCAAAGTATAAATTATGATTATTTCAAGTTCTCATTCTTATAAAACAAATATTAGAGTACTACTTTAATTCTTTCCTTTTTAGTTTTTCTCAATTATAAAGCAATTATATCACTTTTGGGTTAGACTAAAAACAAGTAGGTCCTGAAATAGCTGTAGCTTGGCTTTTGTTTCTTTCCAATGGAAAGGTTAATGCAGACTGCAAGTGAAAAAAGCATCTAAAATAAGTGTTCACTCTGAAATGATTTAATTCTTAATTGAAATATCCAAATGTTGCTGGTGACTTTATATAATTTAGTTATATTCATTTTCTTATCTTGGTAGGATGCAATATTGCTTTCACAAAATCTAAAAAATGTAAAAGGAAGAAATTTTTAAGACATGAGGAAGAAATGAGCTAGTTTTGATTATTTTGTTATAGGTCTTGGTATACTTTATTTTTCAAATTTAAAATGTTTATTTTGGTTTAATACCTAGATTTTATTTAAACACTGGTCAGCTAGGCTATTATGACTGCTATAAGAGAATAGTTCTTAAAACTACTAAAATATCCAGAAAACTATAGAACTCTTTCATTTATAAGTGAGAAAAATCCCAATTTAATTTCACCAAAGTAATGCAGCAGCCATTGTCAGCTGCTGGATGCTGGAGAGCCAGTCCTGTTCTCCCTTCAGCAGAATGATAAAGTTCAGATTTGCCCAAGGAACATGCCCTTCCACCCTTCCATGACTCAGAAATTAAGGTTGACTAGGATTAATTGTATCACTCCTGTCAGTGATGGCTTGGCTGTGACATGTGCGGCCAACTGTGGATATCCTTTAAGAGGTTTCTGGGGAAAAATGGCCTTTGTTTTTAAAAGGAGATAGATATAGGAAAAATGAAACATTCCCTCTTCGCCTAAAGGACACTGTTGTGTCTCTGTGTGATACCTAACCTGCAGCACTGTGCCTTGGATTAACAATGTGTGTATCATTGGTGATACGGAAAGGCATTTTGGCTGATGGGTTTTGTAAAAGCCTGCTTATTCAAAGGAGAATATAAGCTAAGGAATTGAAAAGAGCAAGCATAGGCATTTAAAAAAATAACAATATTGGTATAAAGAAGAAGAAATAAATGGGCTAGTAACTTACAGAGTATGAGGCTGACATAGGAATTATTTTTTAAATAGGAGAAATTGCAGAATGTATGCATATTGATATTAATATCCAGTAGAGAGGGAGGAGGGACAATTTAAGTAACAGTGAACCTAAATCTAGTGCACAAGGGAGGGCTTGATGTGGTAAAATTATCAATGAAAGGCAGGAAGGCAATGCAGATATTGGTGGTGGTGAGCAGATATAGTTGGCAATTAAATATGCCATAATTGCTCAAATAATTTCTTTAAAACATACACCATAATTTTTTTCTTATAAAATTGTTATGTACTCACTTAATTCTTCTATGTAATAAGGTCAAGAAAAATATTTTACTGAATTTGAACATAGCCTATGTGTATGATTACCAATTCATATGGTTGAAAGAGAAAGGCTTTGGAGTAAGCATTTCCTGTCCTTTGAAGTGGAAGCTTTTCTCAGTCACTGTGCATGGACATTCTTGATTGTGGCATGAAAGTTGTAGCACTGGTTGCTGGCAATTCCCCAGTATCTCTCATGTCCCTGCCAGTATGCAGTGGTTTTTACAAGCTACCAGTTTGACTATGATCACTGAGCACCAGTTTTCAGTCTCTATGCAAGAATGTATCATTGTATTCTTTCATTAGTCCTTACAACAGTCCTCAGGTTTTTACATACTGGAAAGCCAAGGTTCATCGTAGTTGAATAAATTACACAATATGACAAGATTAGTCATAATCTGTATTACCTGAAAATGCAAATCTAGGTTGGTTTTGGTCTAGATGCTGTATTTCTCCAGTATACCATGCTGTTTCTATTTTTGCAGAATGGTTGAGTAGTCAAAGAATAGACTAACCTAGCGGGACTGTCCTTTAAATTGATTATATCTCAGAAAATAAAATTTGCAACTTCCATAGGCTCCTAATTCCATAGGCTCCTTCCATAGGCTCTTAAGGTTCCAACTTTACTAACTTTAGTTTTGTTTTTTTTTTCTTGCAGCAAAGCAAGAGGCTTTTGAAAATAAGTTAGACAATTACAACTTTTAAAATATTGCTTCAAAATTTAGTAACATAGAGGGGTAAGCATGTAGCTCACAGATACAGTGTCTGCCTAGCATGCACAAGGCCCTGACTGGATCCCCAGCAGCATAAAAAGATGAATAAATAAATAAATAAAATTTAGTAGCATAGAATTATTACAAAGCATGTAGGGAAAAATAATTGCCATACTGAATATTTTCCATTGGCCACAATCCTATTTGCTTGAGATTCATTCATTTCAGCAATCAAACTAGTTGCCTTATGATCTCAGAAAAAGCATCTCACAAAATTTCTAATTGATCTAGCAATAATCATTTGCCTTCAAGTTTAGGGAGTTCATTCCTTAAAGCAGAAATAAAATATGATTTAACTTACCTCCATGACCATACCTTCTGTGCCATGTAAACTCTAAAAATAAAAGAAAAACAATTTTGATCCTGAAGCAATTTGAGTTGTGGTTTCAAACATTCCTCAGATAAGTGAGCTATTAGTTAATGAAATGGTAGCACTGGCTCTTCACTACTCAGGTTGAAGTTCTTCACATCTGTACAGATGTTTATTCCTTGACTTTACATTATGGAGTTGTAGCACTAAAGTTTGTGGCCAATTGAATTAGTGTGAATTTTTGGTACTAATAAGATAACTTCTTATTTATTTCACTTGTAATAAGCCTTCCTAGCAATAACCTTACCAAAATACCTTTCTATATTATATTTGCATTGTATTTGTGTATACATATTTTTGTGTGTGTAATTTTATGCATATACTTACATATGTGTGTATATGTGTAATTATTTTGGCTATAAAATACATAGTTATTAAGTCATTAAAATTCTTAAGTACTAATGAAATGAGATCCGTTTTAGATTCTAGAACCAGAATAATAAAAATCACCCAAAATAAAATACTACTTTTATTTACTTAAATATAAATAAGAAGTACGATAGAATGTTTCCTCAGGTTCATCAGTGGTCAGAGGGAATTGATGTATGATAGAATGAGATATACTGATGTCTTGAACTGAATGGCAACTTGACAAGTACTGTTTGAGTTCAGATCACTGACAGGAAGGTATTAGAAAGACTGATTGTTAGAAAATATGCTCCTTTCAGATAAAAATATGATACATCTTTGCTTGTAGGAAAAAAATCTCTGAAAGCTTCAAATGTGTCTTTGAAAGACAGAAATGTAATATTTAATTGTCCTGAAACTGGAACCCTCTCAGAACTGTCTTATTATTTCATGTGATACACTCATTGTAGATTATCTCAAACATTATTTTACCAAAATTGACTAAATTGGTGAAAGATTTATAAGATTCAACTATGTGTTGGATCCACTCTTAATAGAGCTCAATAACTGATTATTAATTTTCAGAAATTTTATTAATCAATTGTTAAACATAACCAGAATTAAAAATTACATTATACTGACTTATAAACAAATTGTATTAAGTACAAAGGGAATACATGTTTGAAATTCATTACTTTTTAAATTTTTACCTCATTTTATTAAGCTAATGAAGTTATTTGCCTGTAATAAATGATGAAAATACTACATAAGCATAAGCATGTATTTTCCAACTCAACAGCACATGATGTTGAAGCTGACACTCGTGGAATTATTTATCACCAGGAATAGACAGCGATCCCCTCTCCCAGGGATCCAAATTTTAAATGTTTGCCACCACATTACTTTCTTCTATTTTCACATATGTATATGAAATAAACCCACCATATTCACCCTCATTCCCCTTTTCCTTGTGCCCACCCCCATCCCACTGGTTCCCACCTCTGGAAAAGATCTGTTTTAAGATTGGCTAAATCTTCTGAAAATTTAACAAAAACTAAATTTAAAAAAAATAAGGCCAACAATACCACATAAAATTTATCTTCTTGTGCGACCCAGATGTCAAAAGAAAGTATTAATTCTAGAGTTGTAGAACAGGTTTAATGAAATGAAAACATGTATTATGTTGACATAATATATGAAGAATATACAAAGGATATTTCTTACCTGCTAGACAGGTTGTAAAAGATATTATGACAACGTGACTGACCAGCAACCACATTTTCATCTTGTATTTAGTAGAAGTTAGGTTCAATTTTTTAAAAAAAATGTAGCTTTATGGCAGTTGGATAATATAAATACCTGCATCAAAAAAAAAGAAAAGAAGTTGAAATGAGAGGAGGGGAAGAGAATGGAAGGCAAGGGAGAAGGCAGATTGAAAAGAGAAGGAAAAAGGATGGCATAGGAGATCATTACCACTTCTATTCTGCTTTATATTTCTTCTTTGTAGGGTAAATTTTAGTTTATTTAAATACATTTATGAGTACCATGTTGTATTGAAAAGAGTAGATTTGGTAATGTCGGCTTTCAGCTGACATTCCAGTATATTCATGCTCTGATCATGAGCAAATCATTCAATTAGTGTGAGTTCGGGTTTTTTTTTCTCTTTGACCACAGTGGATATAACCCTTTTCTGCAAATACCACAGTTGTCAACATTTCAATATGAATTATTTTAATTGAAGATTAAATTTAACTGAAGTGCTGATAGAGTCATTTGAAAATATGTGGGAGCTTTGTAAACTCACAGACATTATAAAATGGTAATATATTAATATTACCTGTTGGTGGATTGTAGAAAACTTTTGCTGGAAATGCTATTTTTTTTTAAGATAAGGTCTTGCTATATAGCCCAGGCTAGGCTTGAACCTATGATCCTTCTGCCTAAATCTCCTTAGTGCTGGGCTTAAGTGTGTCAACATGCCTGACTTAGAAATGCTGATTTTTTAATGTTAGAATATACTGGTTAATAATATAAGAATTCCTCCTCCTCCCCTTTACTTCTTTCATGTATTCATTGAACAGAAAATAAATAATTGTTCCTAATATGTCACCAAAGAACTGCTAGGTTTAGTGGGGCCAAATTTTTTAAAGTTGGGAAGCTCTCTTTAAGGACTAGGAGACAAAATTACTGCAAAACCATGCTGCAGTCTAACTAAAATATCTTGCTTTGACAAATTTTGCAAAAACTAATGCCCTTATAATTATATTGCTGAGATTTCACCCAAGGCCTTGGAATTTCACCCAAGGCCTTGGAATAGCCTCATGCAAGTGAGGGTTTCCACAACTTGAACTAGAATCATCTTGGTGGAAAGTCCATTTGTAACTAAGCATACAGCTATAAGGAAACAAAAGGAAAGACATATCTACTTTTCTGGAGGGAGTTCCCAAATCAGAGTAAACACAAATAACCACACAAGTCAGTGTAATGGGATACTTATTTTGACCTGAATGCCTCTCAATTTTAAAAAATGTTAATCATTTTAATTGAAAGCATTGTAAAATACAGCACTATGGGAATGTGCCTGACTATGCTAGGCAGAGCATGAAGGAAGGGGTGCTAGACTGTCAAATTTAGGTCATTTGAGTGTCTGTGGCTCAACCATTTCTTACTGAAATTCCTGGAGAACAACATATCCTGGGCATTAGAAAAAGACCACTTCAATAGGATGCAATAGGAGTTTCAACTTGAAAAGACATTAAATAATATTTTCAAAGATTCTATAATACTGTAAGAGAAATCTTACATCATAAAGTTGAGTGTTAAAAACAAATTCAGATAGATCAAGAAAGCAATTTTGAAAAAAATACTTAATGCAATAGGGTTCAACAAAGGAATATGCTTAAACATTATCCAAAAAGAGCAAAACCATCACATATATTGGATTGCTGGTTACTTGCATTGCATGGACGTGTTAAAGAAAAATACAAGATCCTATTTATTATAACTATGATCGACTTTTGATATATTTGGTAAATATTTGACATATTTATACCTTGATTTTCAAGAATCCTAACAATTTGTAGAGAATGGGCAAAATGTTTACTGTTAATATATGAGCCAGGATTAAAATATTTTACCTTTTCAGTCTAGCAATTACTCTGAAGTAAATAAATCCTTTACTTCTAGAAAAATTTGAATTCAATCCTAGAAAAAATGTAGTGTAAGTGGACCAAATTATCAGCAGGAAATATTTAAACTATCATTGCAAAAGAGTATTCAACATATAATATTCAACTGTAAGGTTTAATTTGTGATCAATTTCATTCTTAAAGATATCTGAGAAGGTAAAATCTATACAGCTATACACCATATTAAGTCTGGAATTTTTAATTTTATTTCTTTCACTAAGCAGGACTGACCAGAAGGAAAAAAAAAGAAATAGTTTAACAAAGGTGAAACATGAAGAACAGTTCTTTCAAGGGGCAGGAAAATCAGTTACATGACCCATGAAAATATTTTTAGTTTTTTACTTCAATGATGTATCAAATATAGATCTAAATAAAAATTACTGAAACATGTCCAGATTGATTCTGTCTTCCTAAGTTTTGTCACACACGAAAATTGTACACTCCAGCCTTTTGACTTCTCATTCTTCCTATAGGGTTATGCACAATAATTAGGATGAGTTCTTTTAATGAGGAAGAAGATGGAAAATGCAAACAGGTGAACCACACTATCAAACAATTATCATTTTTTGGTAGTACTAGAGTTTGAACTCAAGGCTTTGTGCTTGCTGGTCAGGTACTCTACCACTTTAGCCAAACTTCTAGTCTTTTTTGCTCTAGTTATTTTCGAGATAGGGTCTTGATTTTTGTCCAGGCCAGTCTGTTCCACAATCATCCTATTTTAAGCTTCCATCATAGCTGGGATACCACCACACCCAGCTATTGGTTGAAACAGGGTCTCACAAACTTTTTCTGTAACTGGCCTGCAACCACAGTCCTCCTAATCTCAGCCTCCCAAGTAGCTAAGATTACAAACATGAGCCTAGCTCAAACAATTATTTTTAAAAGATTAATTCATATAATAGGTGTGGGAACAAAGGCAGATTATAAAGCATGTTCAGTTTAATGGCAACAGTAATTGTCAAATTTTAGGTAGTTATATTTATTTAGAAATAAATTGTCATGATATGAGAACAGTAAATGATCCTAACAGATTTTTGAATTTAAGAGCAAGAGGTGCTGCTGCAATTTTGGTTTTGCATGAAAAAGAAGCAGCACAGGCCAAACAGAAAAGGAAACAGGCAAATAGAACTGAAGAATGCAGATCAATTTCTGTGAACCTTTCTTTCAGATTTTTCATTCATTTTCATGCAGTGTGTCAGGGAGAGTTGGTCTATTTGCCTTTTAACTTTATAAGTAGACTGGAAAAGTGGGGCAAATCTAAAGAATGAATTAGTTGTGCCCACACACAGCAAGTGATTTTGGGAAATTGAAAATAAAATACAGAACAATTGTCTAGGTCTAGGATGTTATTTGACACTTCCTCCACAGAACAATCACAGTATGTGGGGAGTCATGCCAACACATAGTCAAAACACTATAAGGGGAGTCAGAACGATCTTGCATGCACTTTGCCCCAAACATTCTTCACCTTGCAACTTTGGGCAAGTTATTCACCCTCTAACTCTCACTTTGTTCACATGTGAAATACAGAAATAATATCTAGTTCATAGGACTATTAAAGGGTTGCATGAGATTGTGCCTGTGAAATATTTACTATGAAATTATTTGGTAAATATTAATTTATTATTCTACTAGACCATAGACCTTTCAGGGCACAAAACGTCTTATGCATTGCTACTGTTCTATGCCTGGCGTGTGTGTGTGTGTGTGTGTGTGTGTGTGTATGAATGAAAGAATGGACTGTGTCCATAATTTTATTTCAAAGCATTTGTCACTAATTGATATTTAATTTCTTTTGAAAAGAAGAAGATGACAATAGGTAAGAAATATCTTTTATTAGGCTTTTATCTTTCCTTCTGATTACTGTGGCTTACAAATTAACTTTTTTGTGGTGCTGGGGTTTGAACTCAGGGCCTCATCTTTATTAGGCAGGCACTTTACCATGTGAGCCATGTACCCAGTCCATTTTTCTTTAGTTATTTTTCAGATAGGATCTTGTGGTTTTGCCTAGGGCTGGCCTCAGACCATGATCCTCCTGATCTCTGCCTCCCAAGTAACTGGGAGTATATAGGCCTGAGCCACCATACTTGGTCCTATAGATGTACTCTTAAAGACAGTGTCCTAAGTATCAATATTTTAAAGCATTTTTCAATATGCAGTTTATTGAGCATTGATGGAAGTCTCTGTCTTCCAGTTTGAACACGTATGCTGTAATCAGAGTGCAAAGTTCTGTCACTGTTTTGAGCCTCTTTGTGTTATACCATGCTATCTCTCCTCTCACTTCCAAATGTTACTTGTTTCAATAGGATAGAGAGTTGTCAGCCTGGCAATGTGTAATTTATTTCAGTTAATGGGCTCCTTGCTGGTTAGGCATAAAATCATCTTTCACATCTTGTTCAGAAATTTGTTTTCTGCTGGTGATTTTCTCTATTGTGTCACTAGTCATCCTATCACTTGGGACACCCTAGTCACATCCCTCAGCAGTGATAAAGAAGCTAAGCCTGTTCCTATAATGTGGTCTATTTCTCTCTTGAGGACAAAGCACTCAGCAAGTCACAGCCAACTCCCAGACCCTATGGGCTTGGTAGTGTTGCAACAAATGAAGTGGCAGAGGAAGAAAACAAATGACTCTGACAGATGTGCCAGTTACAGCTGAGACAACAGATTGACCAGAAGCAGGAGGTGGGGTTGCACTCCTGTCCCTGAGGCCACACTGCTGGTCAGCTCCCCCAATTCACTGTCCTTAATGGCCCTGTGGCTCCCAGACCAGGCCTGGCATCAGGGACTGCCCTGGATGCTGTATCAACTCATCAGAGGACCGTGTGCCAGTAGTGGCTGGTGTGACACTGACAATATTGGTTTCGTAGTAATGTCAAAGAGAATTCAGCTGCTGTTTTTCTCCAGTATCCTTTACTCTTTTACTCTTGTAGGAAAACAATAGCCTTCACAATGTGACAGTGCAGTACAGTATGGCATGTTCTCTTTGTTCTTTCTTCTTCGTTCTTGAAAGGAGAAAAATCATGCTTGATTTTCTCTCTCCCTCTCCCTTGTTCATTAGACAATTCTAGAGTTCTCATTTGAGAAATCTGGTCCATAGCTAGACATGGCCAGATAGCATCTAGCTCTTCTGCTATTCTGTTCTGGTGCAAGATAGCCCAAATAATTTATTCAGAA